ATCTGTGTGTGTCCAATTCAAGTTGTGACGGAATTAGTTTTCATGTGTCTAAATCCATTTCTCAACTTAATCATCTATTAATTTATTTACCACTTGAAATCAGCGAATACAAGTATACTTAAAGGATTCCTAATATATTCACAGACGTATTTAAAAGTCTCATACCATAATATTCTTCCTATACAAACAGTTATTCACTATTTGGTAGAGCAAGGTCAACTGTCAAATTTGACACATTTTTTGATGATCTCACTGGGTAGCGTGCATCGTCTCTCTTTGGATCTCAATATTTTCCCACTAGATGGCCAAGACCTAGTGTTTTGGCATTTGTTCAACGCGCAAATGTATGACGTCACCATTTCAACCATCAATGAACGCATGGAACTAAAACAAAGCTTAATATAAAGGAAAGACTAGAGAGGTGACGGAATTACCCACGATGACGGAATATACCGCGTTTACCCTAGCAGATGCCAGACAGACGGACAAACAAGAGTCAAGAAGTGAAGTTAAAGAGAAGTGTAGTAAAAATGGTTGGATTATAAAAAATCTTCAGTTTGCCACAGTCACAGTGCCACTCTGTCAGCGTCCATGAGCAATTGAGCATAGTGGCAAACCAGAGATTTTTTAGAATCGGTTCATTTTTAATTTCCTCATTTACCCCAGATTTTAACAGATTTCTTATGTATGATAACTCTGGTATCCAAGATACTTTACTGGTCTACTTATAGGACTCAAAAATGAACTTGAGGTTGAGGAAGAGTCTAAAAAACGTTCTGCTTTGCCACAATGTCCATGAGTGACATACTGACATTGACAGTGCCAACTTCCAAGAACTCTTCATAAGCAACCAAGGCATGCACAGGCTGACGCTGACTCTGGTCCCTTGTGACCCATATACGGAAATAGAGCCAATCATTGCCAATTGCTGATGTATCACTTCTAAGAAACTCATACTTTGATACTGACTGAAACCCTCAAGCTCAAACTACATTCCTGAACATATTGGCAAAGCAGAGAGTTTTTTAGACTCTTCCTCAAGGTAATTTTTGAGTCCTATACGTAGACCAGTAAAGTATCTTGGATACCAGAATTATCATACATAAGAAATTTTTTAAAATACTAAGTAATTGAGGAAATCAAAAATGAACTGATTCTAAAAAATCACTGGTTTGCTACTATGTTCCTGAAACTTCTAACTTGACACTTGTGAACATTAACTTACCATCTGGCAGTGCCTGACTTAGAAGATGCAGAGGAGGCTAGTTCTGGTGATAACTGATAAGATAGGTAGTTCCTTCATAAGTAATTTGAAGGTTTTACCTGATTGAATGGCCCTAGTCAGCTCCCTATTGACTCAGACATATCTGAAGGTAAGAGCTATGAGCCTCCTGAGTCCTGACTCCTGCTCAAAGAACTGCTGGCACCTAAACTAGTGCTAACTTCAGACTTAGAGACCTGGTTAAGCCCATCCAGGAGTGAGAGCTTGCTGCTTTTAACTCATTTGTAAAATTCATTGTCATTGAGCCAGTTGCTGATACATCATACCCATCCAGACAATCCAGTTGATAAATTCTTCTCAAATGATCTGACTCTGAGTCTCTGAGTAAAGCTCCAGTATTACTGGGTAACATTGGTATACTGGTTAGTGGTTTTACAGGTATTACTGGGTTTAGCAAGAATCTTGCCCCGAAAATTCTTGTTACATTTGGGAGGGAGCTTGGTATTGAGATGGCCTCTTTGTAAAGGATCAATTGGCTTGCCATAAAGTGTTGTCTTCCTGTCAATTTCATAAGATCTATTGGAGTCAACGAAGATGTCTTGGTGAAGATGTCTGGAATGAAGATCCATCTGAGGCTCTGGTTCTGGCTAGACACAGCAATGCCCCTGCAGAAAGAATTCTGAAAGGGAAAGATAAATTAAATATGACAATGTTCAGAGTCACTTTTAACACAAGTATACTGCCAGCCTTTCTTTGCCTTAGGTACGTGTCAGTGCTTCCATGTAAGCCCTTATATTCCCAAGCCATGGCAGTGTTTGAAATGTTAAAGATTTACCACAGTGTCATTAGGTGCAAAAATGTCCTACTTTGTGTTGCATGCAGTGGCTCCCACAATATGAAAGACTGTTCGGCATAAGGCAACCCTCTCTGTTGCAACTGTGGCGGCCAGCACACTGCCAACTATGGGGGATGCGGATTCATGAAGGAGGCCCAGGCAGAGAGAACCAGGGTTAAGCAGAGGGTCTCCTATCAAGATGCCCTGAAGAAAATGAAGCAGCCATCCCAATAAAATGTTTGCTATCTCAATGATGCAACAAGTTCTGGTGCAAATTTCTCTGTCTAGAAACAAAAGGCTCAATATTTTGGGTTGCACAATAATATTGTGCCTCTGATCTGTGCAATATGTTGCAAGATTCTAAGAATATTAAAAATGCATTTTGCAATTGGTGAATTAGAAAGGTATTGTCAGTGTGCCATTACTCTCTAACCTCTAGTCTCTACTTTCAGACTCTCTAGGGGGCAGGGACTGTTAGAGGGCTGTACTGTGCACTATTTGCTCAGTGTGTGACTGTGCGTGCAGTGCATTCCTATGGCTAGTGGATGTTCAAAGAGGTTTTTTAGATTCTAGTCCTTATCAATAAATTATTTGTTGTGTGAAAGAAACTTTTTCTGGACTCTAGTAAGCTTCATAGTGGTCTCCAACTCCAAGCTTTATGGGATGTTTAATGCAAAGGTTATACTAATCATTCAAAATAGGAGAGCAGTATAAGATGAAAGCACTCTCAGTTCAGGAAAAATTATATATCAGTTCGCTTGATAATTTTTCTATTGAATAAACTTACCCTGTCAATAAAATAGTGCTTGGACCACTTTTTCCTTTATAGGATCTTTCTCTTTTATATGTTAGAACTTTTGGCCAAATAATTTTAATTAACTATTAACATTATTCAGTTTCATTCTTCTCTTCTTGAAATTCCAGCAGAGACTTTTGCACAATATGGCTGTATGTCTGGCTGGTCTGGTGGAGTGATTACGCAAACCAAAATATTACAAAATAATATATGGTACTCCTGCAATTTGTTTTGCAAACCTTATTGCACAATAATATTGAGCATCTAGGGCACACAGGCAGATTTAGCCTAAGTCAGCAGATATGGTACTGCACTTACTTTGCTGCTCACCACTAGAAACCATTCAATACTGGTCAGAACTAAGATTTGGAGAGCTTACCGTAATTGTTCAATAACTACATAATGAGCATGAAACTGTTTCAATCTTGCTAAAGAGAAACTTCTGGTTCAGTTTTGTTTGCATAATAGATCATTTTTATTGAAGGCTAGTTACCTAAGTGCTGTGGCAACAATGTGACTTTAGTAGCAATAACAGTTTTCCTAAAAAGCTGAAAATGTTTTTTTTATTGCCATTTTAATAGCTTTCAAAATTTTCTCACTTGTGAAAAAAAATTTTTTTTTGAAAAGTTCACTCTATGCCTTTGGTTATCCATTGAGAACTTCTGTGCCTATTTCCTTTAAGATAAAATCATAAGTGGCACTTTCAGTATGCTAAAATGTAATTTTCGTAGTTCGGGCAGTTTTAATTCTTCAGTTCAAACAAGAGACGTCTTCTCCATAATTTGGAGAATTTCCAGACATAATTTAAGGAAGTTGTTTTCTGAAGCTAAGGAGATGGACGTGCAAGAAAGTACCAGGTACGGGTCAATGAGAATTACCTATATTGTTCTTTAAATAATCTTTCTGAATAATATCCTATGGACCAATAGAAAAATTGTCAATTACAATGCCTTTATTTAAGTGACTCTAAAAATTTTTTACAGTTTATTTCTTGAAGTTTGGCATTGTATATATCATGTTGGGCATTTTAGTACATTAATAGTAATGGTAGTAAAGTTAAATTTCAATGTTTAACCCCCTTTTAAAATATTTACAGATGTGTGATTGCAGTGGCTCAAATGACCTGCACATCAAACAAGGAGAAGAACTTTGAACAACTCACTGGCTTGGTAAACCAAGCTGTGCAACAAAAAGCTAAGGCATGTGAAGCTCCTAAGACTGGCATTTCCTTTCCTTAGGGTTTCCTAAGATCTCTTGATACATTTCTAAGCATTCTTATGTATTTAAATAACTGGCTAGCCATTTCCATTCACATAATTTTAGATTTCTGATTGTCTAGTCTAGAATCAAGTGATACTTGTGAATTGAGTTGAATTTTCAACAAGGACATGTAAACCAGCAGTCTGAAGTCAGAACATAATTTATAGTTAAGACTTGGGTTGTAGAGTACCTTGTTTACGTCTAAATTCTTCTGCAACATAAGTTGCTACCAAATTCATAACATGAATGGTCAACCACAAAATCCATCATTGTGGCCTCTGTGCTTGCTTGGTGTTTATTTTAAAAATGTATTTGAAAAACATAATTTCTGCATTTCTTTTTTATTGCAGAAATATATTTTTTTTTTGCAGATGATATTCCTGCCTGAAGGGTGTGACTACATTGCAAGCACAAGGAAGGAGTCTTTGGAAATGGCAGAGGAACTAACAGGTTCTTTTGTTTCTAGAATACAAGAACTTGCAAGAGAGAAGAAGGTTTGGCTCTCTCTTGGAGGTGTGCATCTTAAAGTGAGCTCTTAAAGCGGACCTTTGGGCCTGAGCACAATTTTCTTTCCCTCTTCACTTAATGTGGATTACTACAATCATAATTTGGTTACATTTCTAGCATAATAGGTACCGAAATGATGGAAAGCTTGCTATATATATCTATGCCATGAAATGAAGTATAGTGAAATATACCTATACTACCTACTATTGAGAACTATATATTTATACTACCTACTAAAGGCTACGATAGAGAACTATATATATTTTAGGTTTATTACTGGTAGCTGTTCTTTTTCATATGAGCATCGCGTTATCACATCAAAGTTGACAAAGGTAATTCCATTAAAATGACTGATGTGATTAATATCAGTAAGCCTTACCTATATTAACTAGACAAACTTAAATTAATAAATTGATCCATGTTGACGATTTAAATACATTTGAATAAATTGACAAGTGCCATATGTTATCAGAGTTCGTGTGAAGATGAACCTCGTCTGAGCAACACCCACCTCATAGTGAGCTGTGATGGATCCCTGCGCGGCAGCTATGCTAAGACGCATCTCTTCTCCAACAACATTCCTGGCCTGGCCATCAATGAAGCAGATTATGTGAAGCCTGGTGATGAGCTATCTGCCCCTGTTGTCACGCCTGCTGGCAATGTTGGGCTTGCCATTGTATCCTTTATGACTGGTGCCAAGTATTGTTTACAAATTTTCTGCCGTGCCCTGACACCGGGCAAAGTTGAGCTAGCCATAGTATCCTCTATTAGTATTAGGAAATCCTGTTCAAGATCCTTTACCTCCGTGCCAAATGACCTGTTGGATGCTCTGCAGCCTCTGGAATGAATCACATTATTTAGACCTTATTGACACATGCATCAACTTCTGCCTGCTTATATTGAATTTTTTTGACAAATCTCCCATAGAATTTCGTACAAGTTGAATTAAAGTAAATCAACCCAGTTTGCCTGATGATTCTAATGATTAAAATTTACGCTGGTGGTTCTTTAGCAATTCACGATCGTCATTGCACTGACTGAATTTGTTGTTCTTGGTGCCTATTCATAATTTTGATTTCTTTTGCAATTTTCGAATCGAACAGGAAACTAATTTATATTTTGTTAAGTTTGATATGAATAGAAGACCAGTTTGTGCCAAGCTTTTGAGCCACATCAACCTGCTGGGTTTGCCTTAACAGAATAATTCTGTATCAGTGCTACGACGTAAGGTTCCCTGAGCTGAGCCAGGCGTTGAGGCGGCTGGGGGCGCACGTGCTGACCTTCCCTTCAGCCTTCACGGTGGCAACTGGCAGGGCGCACTGGCACGTCCTGCTGAGGGCGCGGGCCATCGGTGAGGCTGGCGACCGTCGCTACTTCTTGTGTGGTGACCGTTTTGTGTGGTGTAGTTGCTGGTGTGTTGTGTAGTTGCTGGTGTGTTGTATAGTTGCTGGTGTGTTGTGTAGTTGCCGATGTGTTGAGGTGAGGTGTCCCGTATGGTGAGGTGCCCCGTGTGGTGCCCAGAATGCAGTACCCTGAGAAGTGCCGTTGCTGGGCAGAGTGCCAGAGCTTCGTGGTGGCGGCAGCGCAGTGTGGGCAGCACAACGACAGACGCTCCTCCTACGGGCACTCGCTGGTGAGACGTCTTCCCCGTGGCTCCATAGCCCGTGACTAAATAGCCTGTGGCGCTATAGCCCGTGACTCCAAAGACCGGGCTCCATAGCCCGTGGCTCCAAAGCCCGGGCTCCATAGCCCGTGGCTCCATAGCCCGTGGCTCCATAGCCCGTGGCTCCATAGCCTGTGGCTCCTTAGCCTGTGGCTCCATCTATGTTGGTTTCTCTAAACTGCATGATATTAAGTGGATTTTTTTTAAATGTTGTCTTCTCTAACAAAAATAAGTAACTTCTCATATAGCCTCGTCGTTATTGTACAATTGTGCTATATTACTGAAGTGCGTGTGTTGGTGCGTGTCAGGCATGATATGGTTGGTTGCGCAGGTGATCAACCCGTGGGGGGAGGTGCTGTGCGAGGTGGCGGAAGGAGTTGGAGTCGCCACGGCAGAAATCAACCTGCAGGAGCTGACGAAGGTGCGCGGGGAGATGCCCTGCCTGCTGCACTCACGGCAGGACCTGGCGGGCGTTGCCCTCGCTCCTCATCTGCAGTCGCCGCGGTGAGACGGGGGCACTTTCAAACATTTTATTATTTATAATTGTTTTAACCTCTTATTTATTTATAACTAAAGAATCTCTAGCTTTGTTAGAGAATCTCTCTCAATGTGTGAGACTACCAATGTCTGCAAAATATCAGCGACACTATCGCGATAAGTCTTAGATTTGGTTTTAAAAGGTTTTTCCTCGCAGCATTTCCCCCATCTCACGAAATATTGCAAATGATTTGCACATTGATGTATGGGAATGGTATGACCCTAGTCTTTGGTAGGCTGTGGACGTATATTTTTTATATTGCACTAGCATTAGTTGCCTATTGCAATAGCCTGTAGCATCGCTTGTGATGTGCGTATATAAATACCGTGCTGGACGCTCAGTATATACCGAGCTCACTGGCGTGTTGCACGAGCAGCTTATGTCACCTGGAGCGCCACCTGCCCCCGCAATGCAGCCTCCAGTTCGGCCACGTGCAAGTCTCCGGCGAGGGCGTCTTCTTGAGGAGCGGCCTGAGCTTCTCCTGCAGTAACCTGTACCCCCGCCTGCCTGGTCGTATCCTTTTGTGATATGAGGACTGCTGTGGCGTAGCTAGTTCTAGTCTACACATAATATTAGTACGGATTTTAGGGTTGTTATCCAGATATACTTTTAGGTATTTGAAAAAGAGATGTTGTCCATGAAAAACATTATGACAGTTGATCTTTATATAGTTCAAGTAGAATAATTTCAATAGTCAGAAAGAGACTAAGTCAAGATGTGACGGTGATAGGTTAACAGGAATGAACAATCAGAAAATATGTGGAAAGTAGAAGTACAGAGAATATATAAGTTGACGAGGTACTAGGTGCAACCATCTTGCTCTGATCTGTATAATACACAAGAGTTTAAATTTATATTCTAAGTCTGCAATGCAAATTTGAACCTTTTTAATTTAAATTTGTTGGCATGAGCGCCTTAACTGCGGCCCAGACAGCCTAGTGTGTCCGGTGCGCGTGGTGGGTCGCCTGGCGCAGCTGACGGCGGGGGAGGTGAGCGACCTGGCGCAGCTGACGGTCATGACGCATCGCCTGCTGTGCGCCGCGCACAACGTCATGCATAACGAGGTCGCCATTCAGGACGGACCGCTCTCCGGCCAGACCGTTGAGGTACCACTGAACCTTACTTGAGGTACCACTGAACCTTACTTACCTCACCATTGAGGTACCACTGATCCTTACTTGCCTCACCATTGAGGTACCACTGGACCTTACTTGTCTCACCATTGAGGTACCACTGAACCTTACTTGCCTCACCATTGAGGTACCACTGAACCTTACTTGTCTCACCATTGAGGTACCAAGCCTCACCATTGAGGTACCACTGGACCTTACTTGCCTCACCATTGAGGTACCACTGGACCTTACTCGCCTCACCATTGAGGTACCACTGAACCTTAATTGCCTCACCATTGAGCTAGCATCATTAATGTGATTTTTAAACACCTAAACATTTATTCAGCAGCACAAATAGCGTTGTAGCTGCCGCATAAATTGGTCCGATGAAGTGTTGAGAGAAGCAGGTAGCCATACACATGTAAGAAGTCCTTTAAACATTTGAACCAAATGCACCCCACAGTCACACTCTGCGCATTGTTAGCGATACCAGACACTGGTTAGATCTCAATTTATTGAGCTCCACACAGGATTTTAGCAGGTCGTAGCAATTCTAAAAATAAATATTTTGTAGGTTTTCAAATGAATTTATTGCTTGTTCACTTATAATGCGCGTGCCAGCAGCACGTACACGTACACCTGCTACCTTCTCCCGCGGGTGCGGGCAGCCTACTGAGCCCTGATGTGCCCAGCGTCAGCCAGACGCCAGAGGCGCATCGGCGCTCGCCTGAGCAGCACCGCGCCGCCATGGCGTGCGCTGCTGCCGAGCTGCGCGCCGTCTCTGCGTCATCACCTGCCGTCATCTACGGCGCACACGACGCTTCTTTTCATATACCGCAGTGAGCAATAAAGACGAGTTGTCTTCTAGGCCAAGCCTGTCCGCAAAATCCTCATTTTAGCTGATTTGACTCGAGATAATTCATACAGTTGCAATGTTTACAACGCGGTTATAATTACTCGTGCTATGAAATTGTGCTCAATAAGGAAGTTTTCAAAATTGATTCTTGTTAATCTTAACTAATTAACTATTACTGAATTGGCTTTATTTCCCAATGACATTTTCTTTTATGTATATCTAGGACTCTTTGCTCATAACACTTTATTTTAATATAAGCTGACGCGTTACAGAGACCTGGCTCTCAACGACGACTGCCGCGCAGACGGCGACAACGCCTGCTTGAGCAGCCGCCACTGCGTCGTCTACTGCGTCGCCGGCGCCTGGCAGCGGCTGCGTATCCTTTATACAGGCGCGACTAGGGGCGGATCCTCGGCAGCGACCCTAGTGTCGTCAGCGCAGTCAATTAATTTTAACCCTCTACCGCCCGACACGAGTAACCGGAGCAATATTGTCACAAGCCTACTACCCAAAAAAGGAAGTACGCTCACGTTCTAGTGAGCGCAAAATGACTTGCACTGATGGTTGCCGCCACGTACGATAACTTTAAAATGCTCTCTGTTGCACACAAACGTCCTCAGGTTGCTACACTCAATACCGTAGTTTACGTTTGACTTCAGTTGAAAGTTATGTTCCTGGAGATTGACTTACGGCGGTATAGGGTTGATGTCTACCGGCTAGAAAGTAATTTGTGTGCTGAGGGTGGCCTGGCTGGACAGACTGGCCACTTAGTCTTGAAGTCATTCCGTTAATGTCATTTTTCTTAGCCTTTTGCGTTGGTCTAAGCCCATGACGGCAGCCAGAGCATCTCGGGAGCGAGTAGCGGCATATGACGTCATGTGTTCCCTGGTCGCTGTGACATCTAAAAATGAAGCTCATCCTAGACACGCTCGTACCGTTATTAGGAACACTGTACAGTACACCTCAGTCAGGTAGTTTTATGGGAAGTTTTCCAAGTTTTCGTGAATAATACAGGACATTTCTGAATTAGCGGTGTATGGGATGCGATTGTTACTTGCATTTAACTTGAGCAAAGAACGAATGTAATTACAAACGGTGGAATTACGTTCGAATACCTACGATAAACTAGGCACATGATAATCAACGATCCCATGTGATGTTTACGCCCTAATTAATAACTTTTAAAATTATTGAAAAGTACGATGAGCTGCTGCTCCTTGACACTTTTCACAAAGCTACTGATTAATTTGTCCCTTCTATGTTTTATATCTCAAAGTCTTTCGCTCCGCCATGTGCCCTCCGAACAAGGACTGGGTATCATCTCTGGCATTCCTTCACGTGGAGGGCCCTGGTAACTCCGAAAGATTCGTTCAAACTTCACGGGGAGATTCCTGCTAACTTAAGGATAACCGTCCAATGACTTATGCTCTTCTAGCTACTGATTTGCTATCGTTTCATTTTAACACAAAATCTTCTAAATTTACCTTGCTGTGTTATTCATTTAGTGAAGGAATAAAATACTTTATTTCTAGGTGAATTTATTCTCAACTGATTAGCATACTTGGTATTTCACTGTTAGCTTCCTTGTCAAAGATATTTAAAATTGAAATAAAGCTGATATCACGAAAATTGATACCTAGCGCGAATTTTCGGTAATAATATGCTGGCATATAAACGAGACTCGCTTCGAGAACGATGTTTATCTCTCATTGCTTACCTACCCACGTCGGATCAAAATAGCTTCTTGGTTGAATTTCATAGCTTGCCGATTGAGATCTTGTTGGAGTGCAGATGAAATCACAGGAATATTTTTTCATTAAATCAGAGGAACTTTAACTTGGAGGTTTACTCAGGTTCGCCATAGCAGTGCCGCTTAAACCGCTCGCGTAAATAGCAAATCCTTGAATGAGACTCAACGTCCGCCCATTTGTCATATCAACTGAACCACTCTTCCTGTGCCTCACGAGTTACGCGTGAACTTTTCTTAATATGATAAGACCTGGTGGTGCTCCTGCGTAGACGCGTGTCGTCGCTGAGCGAGGTCCTCCCCTCCGAGGCCTCTAGCCTTCTGGGGGCGTGTCACCTGCTGCAGCAGCGCGTCCTGCAGCACCTCACTCCTCACGCCTCCACCTCCTTCATCTTCAGACCTCCTAATCAAGATTTCCAGGTGACTTGACCGCCAGGGTAGTTTAATGAAAGAAAGTTACCTGCCTTATTGCAAGCAACTCTAAGAATTGCTTATTCCATTTTTTTATAAATTTTATCGCTTGTATTAAAGTTCAATACCTGGACCACTTGTTTGAGTTCAATACCTGGGGTTTGAGTTCAAAGAGTTCAATACCTGAATAATAACATGACTTATAGGTTATGCAGAAGGTGATCACGCGAGATCTCCGATATCAAAACAGTTAAAGTACCGGGACTAGAATCGTCAATCAGGAAGCTTCTTGCTCGATATTTTGGAACCAAGGGCTTTTAGCTTATTAACCAGAAAGTTCCCAAGAAATTGTGCGCCAGCAAGTAACTGGTGTTATGTTTCCTGCAGGCTGTTAGAAGAAGACCATTGTGTGCGTTTAAATGGGAAGCTAATTCTTTCAATACTTTTTTGCTTCAACGTTACTTATGATCCTCCGATGCCACACAAAATACGATGCATTGTAGAGTTTTTTTTTCATTGTAGTTTTCGTCTTACAACTCATCTATACCATATACAACTCTTCCTTAGAGTGTACACGTGCACGTTCTGCCGTGGCTGGTGGAGCGACAGCCCAGCGATGGCGTGTACACGTTTGTGAGCTCCTACAGCGTCGCCGTCACCCAGAAGGAGCGCCTTCTAGCCGCTGCCCTACAACGCGTCCTGCAAGACGACAGTTCTCTCGACCCCCTGCGCGCCCTGCTTGGCCTCCCGACAGACTAAACACTCTGGGTCTTATTCTCTCGCGTTTTGTTCGTATGTTCCCCCATCTCGCTTCGGGTATCGTGGATAAATTCAGCACTTCAAGTGCAGGATGAGGGAAACCAGGCGTGGAGCTTCTCAGATGTAGAACGTCAAGAAATAACTATCTCGTTTCCCGATTATATATTTCTGTGATTCAACAACATGAAAATTTTACAAATTCAGGTTATTGTTGCTGTCTCCAGGTGTTTTATATACTATCCATGCAATAGTTATTCATAATTTTTGTTTTCCAAGGACATTGGTTGACAGTCCCATCTCTTCTGAACCAGGAAGCTCAAACTAAAACGTCTTCCTGAGAGAAAAGCTTATTCCAGGTACCGGTAGGAAATAAAATTCCTGCATTATGTTTGTCATCTGATCCTGTTGTGGCTCTAACAGCTTAAATAATCCTGAAATATGTGAAAAATAAACATGTTGACTTGTGTTCCTGTTCGTTTAACCTTCACAAAGATGAGTTTGGAAATTATGGGCTCAAATGATCTCGCCTAACTTAGTTCATCACTCTATGTTACACGTTGTAGTTGGTCACTACTCAGATCTGCGAATCTACAGTACGAAAGAGTCAAGCTAAATCTTGTATACTGATAAAAAGCCCAACACGACCGCGTCTGTTTTCAACGTAATATTTGAGTGAGATGAGCTCGTTCTCTCCCTATAAGGTCGATGCAGCCCGCTGGTAAATTTGTTCCTTTGTATTCTACTTTTTTTGTGATGAATCATCGTTGGACTAGCTTTTGTGCAAAAAGTATGTTCCAAAAAATGTGATAACGCCTGACCTGAAGGTGACTGCAAAAATGTAAGTTTGCATTAGCGGGGCGAAAATAAATGAAGCTTGGCGGGGCGAAAATCCTTAGTAAGTCGTGATAATGTGTGCCGTGAGTACGTTGGTTCGGTTCGAATAAGATGAGCTGCTTGTAGGAATGTGATTACTTAGTATAGTATCATCGGCATTGAAGAATCCTGTCGCCGATGTTACGGAACCTCGGCTTTATGCATGATTACTTCTCTTTCGCTGAGCAACCGTCTCTTCATATTTCCTGGTTTCTTGCCACGTGCTGATGGATTTAATTAACAACGTAGATGCATTTATGAATGAATGAATATTTTTTTGGCAAACAGTTGACGTCTTCGTGGGGACCTCATTGAAGTATACAAGTATACTCATGGTCTATACAAGGTCCCTGAAGGGTTACTAGAATTTGAAACAAGTACCAACACCAGGGGCCACGGCTATAAGCTAAAAAAACTGCGCTGTAACTTCTCCCCGCGACAAAATTTCTTCTCGCTTCGAATCACCGACATGTGGAACAGCCTCCCCAATGACATAGTTGGCGCTCCAAGTATGAACGCGTTCAAGAACAGACTAGATAAAGCTATGGAAAAATATATGTTCAGATTTGAAATGCCTAGCTCCTTATCGAACCCGGTGGAAGTCTAGTAGCTACTTCAAACTATCGTCAGTCATGAAAAGATCCGGTCAAATGAATCTATGAACAAGGCACGAAAAGGAAAAGAATCGGCGACAGGCCACATCAGGCCTACACTTCAGAGCCGACATCACTATGTTATGTTATGTTATGCAGAATGTTCATCCTTCCAATCAATGCCACGTGATCTTAATGAAACCGAAAATTAAACGCTCGCGAATTATTATCATGTTGCCAGATCGTTCGTGGGTATGTTCATTAAAAAAAAACTCGCCCCCAGTCGGGCTACCCACGATCTCGTCGCACTATCCTTGCCCTCTCCTACTTCTACCCCGTCCCACTTCGAACCTCAGTCGCTTACAAGTCATGGCGAGGGAGGGAGTGTGGCTTGTGGCGGTCGCGGTAGCCCTGGTGCTACTGCAGGGCGTGTCCTCTCAGCAACCTGACACGCTCTGCGGAGAGTGTGACAAGTGAGTTGAACGATTATACATTCTATCAAATTAATTTATTTAATTTTTATCTGGTATCTTATAAAAATAATAGAATATAAAAATCTTGAGTAAATATGGAGAGTGTGTTATCAACCACATGGGCAGAGTGCGAGGCACGGGGTGTGAGGGCGCAGCTTTGTTTAGTTTACGTGTCTTTAGTTGTTTCTTTGCAGCCCACACCGCAGCTTGGGCACAGACGTAACTCGATAATGACATTCGTCTTGCTAACCAAAATCATTCTGAGTGTGTGGCAATTTAATATTCGTTGTCTAGTAACTTGATGTTCGGACAATATCGATTCAGTTCTCTAAGAGCAATAGTTGTTTTTTTTTATTCGATGCGGATAAATCTTGGAAGAATCACCCATTTACGTCTGGTTGTTCTTCTAGATTCTAGAATATCAGTTTAATATTTCGATTGTTTAACAGTATTTTTTTTCATAGAAAATATTTTGGATTTTTTCTTCAGATGCTAAGTTTCATTGTCGAACTGCACTCACGACTCAGTAGCTCATCGCTCATCGCAGACTGCGTGAATATTATTTGATGCACAAATTGATTATAAGTTTCAAATTCTACAAATCGTAATGAACGCTGTGAAGATAGCATGATAGTCATCTGAGAGTTCACTGTGTTGAATTTTTCTAAATACGTTTCACAGACGCCGCTTGCAAATTATAATCCTTATTAATTGGGCATTAGGAAGTACGTATAACGTTCTTTGTCATTGCACCAGACTTTGTGACTTTCGATTTCAAGCCAAAAGCTGTCTCAGCCTCGAGCTTAATAACTAAGAATGAAATTTAAGTTAGGATTTTAGGTAAGGTAACTGGTGCAGTAGGATGCCTGAAGTCACGTTGAGCTTTTGAGCACCAATTCCTACGTTGTCGAGGATTCTTTACGGAACTAAAAATTGAATTAGGTACCGTACTTGGGCCAATTATATTCATGTTTGTAGCAAGTAAATTGAAATGGTGAATTCTCTCCATATTAAGTGCAGAAGATCACGCTCAGTGTAACAGCAACTTGTTGCTGCCACATAGGATGCCTGTGCAAATTTAAAATATTAGGGGAAGACCAAGTCTCATAAGAAGGCAGAATTTATTGTTTGTGGCTCCTTTCGACGCCCTTCTTGATGCTGATCATGCAAAATTTGTTAAGAATGAAATCTGCTTAGAATATGATTGTATTGAATTTGAAATAATAGGAACACTCGCTGTCTTCCTCCGATGTAGAAAATTGTGATGTTATTCTGTATAAAATCTCTGTCAAGCTACCTAAGATTGTGACTCGATATCGGGCAACCGAATTGGAGGTTGCCACAATGAACGAAGTTCTTGAATGACCGGGTTGTGAAAACCTTTATAATCGGACAAACAAACATAGTAAACGCACAAAGCAAGGTGGTGGGTATGGAGAGGTGGATTTTTAGTGAATATTTAAGTTAGCAGTGGTTATAAGGTTATTGATGGAGCAGATGGACCAACATAGATGGTCGATGTACCAGAGAAGTAGTGGTGGCAGCCTACCAAATATAATTGGTGCATCAATGAAGATAGTTGTATCGGAAAAAATTAGTAATAGTGGCGGCCTAGCAAAGATGATTGGTACACCAATAAAGACGGCTGATGTACCAGAGAAGTGGTAGTGGTGGCGGCACGAGGCTGAGATCTACACAAGAGGCCCTCTGTCTGCCATTGAGGTCGCCGTCATGACTCCCCATCTTGTCTCCTGACCCACGCACATAGTTCAGCAATGCCGCTGACGTATTAGACACCAGCTGTCAATTCAATCATCCCCTCTTAATTCCGGCGAATATGAAAATTCGTTCAAGATGAATTCTAAGGACGATAGAATTATACCCGAGTTCTTCATGAAGGAGCTCACGGCTGGATTAAATCTTGAAATTTGCCCGTTATATATAAAGAATTCCGCTGAAGTTCTTATGATAATCTGTCCTTATTAATTATCTATCTTTAATTATATCTTTCATATAACTGAATAAATGAACTACTTTTGATTTTACCTGTGCGTTTGCACTGTAAAGGCATAGTTGGTATGTATGGTGTTGCTTGACTAGTATTCCTGATACGCGTTTCACTACTATATAGATGATGTGAGTTTCAAGTCGCCGCTCATGCGCTTTACCAGTGAAGCTGCCACTGCCACTGCCAGCTATCCTCCACACGCAGCTACAGTCCTTGACAATTTAACAAGGACGGTTATTAATGTGATTTATTAGAATTTATACACATTACATGACTATTATAATCCATATAATGGTAATGATCAATCGTTTTGAGAATGTGGTTGTACTTTCAATGGTAATGGCAATTCCTTTCATGGTAATGACCATCCATTTTGTGGTTGAGTATACATTATTTAATTACGATAATTTTTCTCTTGACGATTAAAATTATAGTTTTTAATGGTAGTGATCACGCTTAGAATTATCATATTATCGTAACCATGAGTTACATGATTGTGATTGTTATTTTTTGGAATAATTTATTCTATTTTAACGGCCACCCGTTTTGTAATAATGACGTGGGCGTGATTATTATCAGTCATATATTCTTTTCTTCGTTTGTTTCTTGATAAGAATTAACTTGAATAACCAAATTGGCTCATTTTATGCTTTATTTTATCAATGTTCATCCGCTGCATATCGTCTTTAATTAACGGATTCCTGGTGTTTTGGTCCGCAGGTCCAAATGTCCGCCGAAGGAAGACTGCCCGGAAGCGGAGGCGGTTGACAGCTGCGGTTGCTGCGTGGTGTGTCGGCGCAGTCTTGGGCAGCGCTGTGACCCTAAGCCTGCTGCAGGGGTGCTCTATGGGCCCTGTGGCGAGTACCTCGTCTGCCAAACACGCCTTGACATTGCCGTGGGTACTCGGCTGGAGAGACTTCTACTTGCCTGTATTCTGATCACTCTCATTACTAATTCGTGCCGCAATAAATGGTTCAAAAAATTAAAAGTTAAAATTGTGTAGTAGAGTCCATGCTCGTTTTAATGCTGAGCTTTTAATATTTAGCGTGCACAATAACTTCAAAGCCTAATATTAGGTGAGCAGATCTTCATCTCATTTGTGCTTTAAATTTTTCATTTTTTAGCGCTTGAGTTGCATTTGATATTCCAAACTAGTAGGTATAAAGCCTCGAATATGTCTGATGAGATAATTCAATAAGTTGCAGTGGTGGGCACAATTCCGCTAATCCGCTAACCGCTAATTAGCGAAGCTAACTTTTTCCTTATCGGATTAGCTGTTCAGCTAACTTTGAAAACCTTTAGCGGACCAATTAGCTTCCGCNTCAGCCGACCGTTATCGCCACACAACATCTCTGGCATGTCACATGACGTGTAGTAAACAGTAACGTCTTCTAGCGCTGTAACGCGTGAGCGTCAGCCGACCGTTATCGCCACACAACATCTCTGGCATGTCACATGACGTGTAGTAAACAGTAACGTCTTCTAGCGCTGTAACGCGTGAGCGTCAGCCGACCGTTATCGCCACACAACATCTCTGGCATGTCACATGACGTGTAGTAAACAGTAACGTCTTCTAGCGCTGTAACGCGTGAGCGTCAGCCGACCGTTATCGCCACACAACATCTCTGGCATGTCACATGACGTGTAGTAAACAGTAACGTCTTCTAGCGCTGTAACGCGTGAGCGTCAGCCGACCGTTATCGCCACACAACATCTCTGGCATGTCACATGACGTGTAGTAAACAGTAACGTCTTCTAGCGCTGTAACGCGTGAGCGTCAGCCGACCGTTATCGCCACACAATATCCCTGGGAATGTTTACTCTCCGCTGGGCTGGGTCGCTGCACATTATGTTGAGGTTGCATTCACAGTATATGCTTCACGTACGAGTTATGAATTATTATTTGATGTGATTCAGTGATATTGAATTTTCCTTTAAACAAGGACTACTCTGCATTAAATTTAACATTATATAATAATAACAAAACAAAATAAATAACATCCTAGCTTAGCCTGACCTATCCGAACCTAACATAACATGTCCTAACCTAACCTACAGGATCCTATCCTACCCTAATGTATAATATACTTACTTACCTGAGCTTAATCAGTCTAAATGGACAATAAGAAATCATAAATACAGGCAATGAATTATTCATTTCCGTAAAGTAGTCCGGATTTTAGGCTGAGCAAGTTTTATTAATTAAGCGTTAATGCAATAAATTGTTCGACCATGAGCGTTGACTATCTAGCAAACAGTTGAATATTCATCGCATCGGGTTCAGGTGAAACGCAATTTTAATCATAAGCTCACATTCGCCCGCGTGAATTCGAAGCCAAGGCAAGTTTAAATGAGAAGTGGCTTATATTTCTTTGATTTCTGTCGTATCCCGCGCCATGTGACAGGACCAGTTCTGCACACAGATAACTTGCTCATACTGTTCGCATATGCTTACGACCGGACGCTCCCAGATGCGACAAACCTCATCATTGCCTTTTCTTATCGCATGCTTCGTGACAACAAAGTTAGAGCACTGCATAATTAAGTTAAAATGATAGAATTGCGAGTTGGTCAAACAACAATTTTTTTCGCAGACATTGCTGTTGATGAACAAATGTGATTCAGCACGAGAATTACGCACTTCTTACCTATCTGGTGTAGGAGTTATTTATTAAATTTTGACGAAAAATACGATATATTGAGGTTTGTGTACGTTTGCATTTCGGTTACTGGCTTATAGCGGCTTTGATAGCGTGGGTTTCGTTGCTCTCGCTTGATGAATATTGCAGACACTTCCAACTTGTGGCCGCTGCAGACGCTCGTAGGGCGAGCGTCTGGTACATATATGCCGATCATATTTGAAAATGACATTGCTCATGCAGGCGTAGTTTCAACTTTTTAGAGCATTGTACATTCATTCATTGTTCCTTATGTGAAATAAGAAACAAAGAAACATTAGAAATTATATCAGGACATTTTAAGCTAAAAATAGTGCTTTTATTTAAAATTGTTACACGCTATAATCAAATTTGAGTTTTATTCCTTGCAATACATCTCTCAATCAGATATTTCGCTAGATAATTTGATACTCTCAGTAACGCAGTGGTTGCTACCATCTTACTCTCAGTAACGCAGTGGTTGCTACCATCTTACTCTCAGTAACGCAGTGGTTGCTACCATCTTACTCTCAGTAACGCAGCGGTTACCTACATCTTCCTCTCAGTAACGCAGCGGTTACCTACCATCTTCCTCTCAGTAACGCAGTAGTTACCTACCATCTTCCTCTCAGTAACGTAGTGGTTGCCTTTGCTCTCAGTAACGTAGTGGTTGCCTATCATCTTACTCTCTGTAACGGAGAGGTTACCTACCATTTTGGTCTCAGTAACGCAGCGGTTACCTACCATCTGCCTCTCAGTAACGTATTGTTGTTGTCTAACATATTTTGAAAGTTGGTTATATGCGTATGGAATAACCATTAACTATCATTTAGATTATGCCTTCGTGTATATTGTTTGAATATATTGTCAATGGGAATAACAATTGATCGCACCTCTCATGTGGAATAATCTTTGCATGGGATAATATCTGTGCACCAGCTATGTTACTCTTGCGGGTTCCAACAGCACGCCAGCTGAGAGGCAAGAAATTCTAGAATGATATAATTATACGCAGGATGAGTATGTGAGACAAATATTTCATTCGTCGTTGATGCAAATTTGACAGTTTTTTTTAATTCCTTGAATAATAGGCAGTTTCATTGTTAACAAATGTGAAGCTGCTAAAAATTTTGCCTTTGGCATTAAATTATACCACTTACCATTATGTTATACTAATAAAAAAAGAATATAGTTCATTATTTTCACACACATAATAAATGTGTGTGAAAATGTTATTTTCACACAAATAAATAAAATAAATCCTGGCTTTTCCTCTTAATTTTTCATCATTGCGTTTAAAATGCGACGCTGTGTGTACAGTCAAGCGACGAGGCGACATGTCAGTGCGTGCAGCAGAAGGAGGTGTGCGGCAGCGACAACGTCACCTACACCACCATGTGTCACCTGCTGGAGGAGGCTCGTGTCCAGCCTAACCTTACCGTGCAGCAGCAGTCGCCGTGTCTGTCCAGTGAGTGGCTCGCCCTGGTGCAAGCTTGAACTGTTTCTTCTTTTAGAATATTTGGAAGCCGTATCATATATTTGTGATACGGCGTATATTTGAAAGCCGTATCAAAGCCGTTTACACCGTATCACATGAAAAAATTCATTGTAAGAGCCTAAAATAAAGATCTCTAGTTTCGGGACATTAAATCTGAGGCGCAAAGCACAACCTAATTAATTGCAAATCATATTTCCTTAACTTTTAGGGGCTATTCACGTGTGGTATCATACGAAAATGTTATTAAAAACTGCAAATAATTTAGTATAACGTAAAGAGTTCTGACCAATAATTGCCATTTTTACTCTTTTTTGTAAGCATTATTTATGAGCATGCATTAAACAGGCCCGCATGCCTGCTCATCACACTTATTATCGTGCCATGTCTTTATTCATGTAAAATTTCCCTGAACCTTAACGCCCATGCCTCACAAAGCATAGTAGGAACTAAGCGACCTGCTCAATATTCGTCCTCACTCGTAAATGTTGGAGCTAAACGAGCGTGACGCCACCACAGAACCTGTGATCAAGACGCCACCGCAGAGCTCGAAGCGACAGCTGGGCGGCATCCTGGTGCTGGACTGCGAGGCCATGGGCTACCCTGTACCCAGCATCTCCTGGGAGCTGTACAAACCTGACGGCAACACCATCAAGCTGCCAAGTGAGGAACACACTCAATGTCAGCTGCATTGCGACATAGTCCATGTCAGCTCCATATTACATGTCAGCTCCATACTCCATGTTAGCTCCATACTCCATGTCAGCTCCACACTCCATGTCAGCTCCATACTCCATGTCAGCTCCATACTCCATGTCAGCTCCATACTCCATGTCAGCTCCACTTGAGCATTCCGCTAGTCGCACCTACACATACAACTTCTGAAATGGGTCAACTGTTTGAGCGAACTAGATGTTTGTACATCTTCTTGAATGTCGTTTATGTTTTAATTAACATTTCAACTTCCACACGGACATCGTAAATTCAACTATCAACCGCCGTACGTAAATCATTAACCGTAAATTCAACTATCAACCTAACGGATGAACGATGAACAGGAGTTTTATGAATTTCTCCCCAGACTTTTCGTAAGAAAAAAATTGCCGTTCTTCGGTTCTTGTGCAGGGCATTCCAGAATAAATACAAAATTGGATCGAAACGAAAAAAGTCATTGTGTTACCCTGGCTTGTGGTGCGTGATCTCGTTTGTACGGTGTACAATATATCTTATCGTGCAACTTCAGTCAACAATCAATGTTTCTCTAAACTCGAATCGAGGATGCGGATGAAAAAGTAAATAATTACATAAATTTGTGAATGCACCGCAACTTAAAACAATCTATGACTCCCAGAAAAAGATATTACCGAGAAGTAACGCGCTTTAATTAATTTATTAATTTGCAGACGACGATTCTGGCATTGCGGTTCAGATCCGTGGAGGTCCGGAGCACCACATGGTCACGGGGTGGGTGCAGATCATGAAGGTGACGAAAGACAACGTAGGCACCTACGTCTGCAACGCCGAGAACTCCCTTGGTGCCGCCAAAGCCACGGCCGACATCTCCTACATCGGTAGAGGTGAGGCTTGCCTGCAGTTACAAAGAACTCGACGATACCCTAGGGACCATAAGAACTTGGTCATGTCCTTGAGGGGCACACTGAAGCAGCTAGATGGTACTCTTAAAAATTATCATTATTATCATACTTCAAATTACTGTGCACATATTAAGAACTTCGGATTTCGTTTGATCCAGTGATATCAATATAAACTTATATTACATTTACTGGTATTTTCTAATAAACAGTTATGTAAAAAAAACGTCACCATTGTTTAAATAAAAATTTATGAAAGATTTCCCCCTCCCTAAAATATACGTATTAACGGTATTATAAACACGTGACATCTTTCAAATGTACGTGAGACCATTGAAAATTGTCACCTGGTACGACCGTCGTTTAATATCAATGTACGAGTAATTTCAGTTTCATCTGCTGTTTTTCATCTTGTGTTATACTTTACAGAAAACGAGCTGTAACGGGCTGGTTGGGCCAGTGCCTCTCACTGCCACTCTCTGAGCTCCTTCGTATTAAGTAATGAATATTCACGTCGACAAAACTGACGAGTTGCTGAGACTGCGCGTGTGGTGTAACGAGTCTCTCCTACCGACGTTATTCCTGCAATTGGTGTCTCATATCGGAATTCGACTGGAAATTTCTTAGCGTTAAGGAAATACTTACTTGATAAGCAAATGGCAACGTTGACTAGAATAATGCGACTTATTTGATTTAAGGTATATTGATTAAGTTTTACACTGGTGTCATTGTTAATATACTGCAAATAAATGTTTTGATACGTAAATGTTCTACAATTAAAATCTTTCATGTTGCGGAAGCTCATCTGTTCGTTTCATTGTCCTATACCATATACTCGAATCACATAAGCAGACCGCTGGTATATTTTTAGCTAGAACCTTTACTTTGATTTTATTTGAAGCAATAACTGAGGCGGTGAACAGTGCAACAGAACGGAGGAGTAGCGTTGTGGCAAGAAATTTTTATGGGGCTCAGCAAGCTAAGCTGACTGCTGAGTATCAATCAGCTAGAAAATTAGTGTGGTATCTTAGAAGCAAAGATAGTTTTCTCATAGGTGTAGTGTATAGATTACCAAACAGTTCCTCTGATAACGATAAAGTACTAAACAGCCTATTACCGAGCACTGGTGTACCACGTCTACGCCTGCTTCCTCCAGTAGGGGAGAAAGGCGGTGATGGTGCTCTAATAACTGTGACAAACAGGAACGGTTTCGCCGGAAAGCATAATGTCCATTATTATACAGTTCAGCCTCTTCTATAGGCTGGACAAGCCTCCTGTATCTTCTCGAAAACCTTGATTACCTGTGAGGTCAAGGTCACAGGAGTGTAATTTTGGGGTCTTTCCCTTGGAAACCTTTGTGGCTTGGTGTTATCAGTCCCACTTTGAATCCCTCAGTAATAATTCCCTGCGTCATCGAGGCTTTCCAGAGCAATGTGAGTGGAGCCTTTGGTACTCCAACACACTTCTTCAACAGCACTGCCGGAATTACATCGGGTCCTGGTACTGAAAACGTCACTAATTCTTTGATACTTATTTTAATATCTGCTGGTTCAAATTCTGTGTTCTTCAACACCCTTCCACCTGGTAGTTCCGGGAAAATTTCAATTTCATTCACACCCCACAACACCACACCAAACTCCACCACACTACACTGCACTATAACATACTAAATTTACCAAACAAATATTAAATAAGATAATTTTATGATAATATAATAAACTAATGATGGAATCTAAAAGAAAATCTGATTTCAATCGCGTATCTCATGGAAAGTAGACGATATCTATCCTATCAGACTGTCAACATGGCTTTATTGCCGGGAGATCCTGCACCACTAACCTCTTGACGACTCTGAACGAATGGACCCGCCTGCTGGACGAAAGGGAGCCAGTAGAATATGGAAAGATCGGGTTCCAAAGGCCGGATCCCTTGTGAATCAAGTCACGAAAAGTTCAAGAATCGGCAACAGGCCATGGGCCTATTTCTTCAACGCCGACACTTATATTCTATTCTATATTCTATTCTATATTTTTCCGGGCTCGCCAGCCGACTCGACAATGAGTCAATGACCCACATGACCGTAAATGTGTCGATTCGCCTCCAATCTGTTAGGATTAGGTTAAGTAAGAATAAATCAAACAAATATTCGTGAAATTTAATAGCAAACAGTTGTGTTTTTTTAAAACAGTTGTTTTAAATTTAATAGCAAATAGAATTACAACAGGCCATGGGCCTATTTCTTCAACGCCGACACTTCTATTCTATTCTATTCTCTTCTATCCTCTATGGGTAGTCGGTAAACTGTCGTAGTCACTAATAATGTTCGACCAGTTTGTAGGATATTGACTAGAAAGTTGAGAGCTACACATATCTTTTCTATTCTAACGATTGAATACAATGGAAAAAATTTTGAAGTTTAGATTTGAGTGAATTATGAATTTTTCACATGTTAATTAATGTCTATCGAAAACTTGTCACATAATCAAAATTACTTATCGTTATTAACACAATATTAGTTTTAAGTGAAGAATCAACGTATTCAGCTTATAAATATTATTGAAAAGTAGGAATCAAGTTTTCGTGATATTCTCTTGCGATATTGTTAGTGCCTATTTGAAGGTTGGCATTCCTGAGAAGAATACTGTTGCTCAATGTACAGAGGGCAGCAGCGGGTGACGGATGAGATACGCCCTGATGGTTATGACGCTTTCCGTTACCATTACATCGCTAAGTAAGTGCGGTAATTGTTGATGTAATTCATAAAAATTACAAGAAAGGCGTTTATCATAATTCTAGATATGAGCCTTCTGAAAAAATGTTGACGAGTTTTTGGAATCGTGATTCTCCTGGATTTTTCAATTCAACTGCAAAATTTGTGTCATAATTTTCAGAATAGCCTAGGTAGAAGCCGCCGTAGAATATAATCGTATTGCATTCAAAATTAATCATTGATCTCAATTAGCCTGAATCATATCGTCATTCAAGTCATAGGATAAGAAATATACAGCATTTATGATGTGCGCTGATGGCGATTCTCAATTTCTTTGATTTACCAATCCAGTCCAGCTGGGTCACTTGTCAAGTTGTCTTGATCAGTTGATGAATTCAAATAGGTACCTAAATCAGCCAAGCTTGGAAATGAGTGATGAAACTAGTTGGAAGATTGTGTAATTCCTTTATTTTAAGTCACTATTGAGCATAATCTGGAACCTGATCAGCAGTTTCCAAAAATTGTGAGTAAAAATGATTGTTTCATCTATGTAAACTAGGTATGTCTATGTGCATGAAATGAAAGTCACTTTCATTTACCATTCGTCCATTGTGTTAAAGCAGAGTTTTTTAGCCTCTTTCTCAAGTTAAATTTTGAGTTTTTTAAGGAGACCAGCAGCTGCAAAGTATCATGGTCCACTTGACTGAAAGTTTAAGTCTGTTTAAGGTAATGAACATGATATACCATAATTAAAAATTCTCTTGAATTACACAGCCTAACACAGGAAAGCATTAGCACAGAATTCATAAGTTTTTTGAAAATTTTCACAGAATTACTATGTTTTTACAATTCACTATTTAAACAACTAGCTAACATATCAATTTAGTTTAAAAAAAGATTCCTTTTATTAACCTCAATTCTAAAGCCTAGAAAGTAAATATACAAAAATTGTATTAGTTTATTGCATCCAATTTAGCTTCTCCTGGATACATGAATGTACCGTACATGCAGCAGTTTCTGCCTCCTATAATGCAGACATGCAAGCAGGAGCAGCTACTTTATACCTTTCAGCAGAGCTCTTGATTGTGTTTGATTATGCAATTCATTTTAGTAAGATGTCTAACAACTGATGTATTCTAGGAAAAACTCATCTCCACATTTTAAATCTACAATATTAGAGACAAAAATTCCGAACCCATTGCTCATGAATTGGTCATAAAAATTATGTTTTCTTGAAAACATGCAGCATGAGTTACTCCTGATAGCTTAAGAAAATTATCCATTGTTAACATATACAAAATTTATCACAATGCATTTGGTTTGGTTGAAAATGCAACACAATAGAATGTTACTAACCTGAGAGCTCAAAGCAAATGCTCCTCAACTGAAGCAGAGATCTCAAATCTGCTGAGCTGAATGTGAGGAAGGACCTGAAATCTGGGAAAGAAATTACAGTTTCTGTGGTACTGGAATCAATGTCAACAAACATATTGAATTCTCAGTGCTTTCTTGGTCCATATTGAAATTTGATTTTTCTTATATACATTTACAATTACACTTATTTGCAGAATTGCAGTTCATTTTCAGTATTCAATTGCATACCGTAAAATGGGGTAACTTAGACCGGCGGGGTAACTTAGACCACTTTTCGTTTTTTTAACAAAAACCCCCACAACTCAAAAACTATTTGACATAGAAAAATTTTGATTTCAATTAAAGTTTAATTTAGCTAGTAAAAAAATGGCATCATTTATAAAAAAAAGTGGTCTAAGTTACCCCATTTTACGGTATAAAAAACCTAATACTAACTAATAAGGTTTCAATAAGGTTTTACAGTGACATAATCTTCTAATAACATAAAAAGTAAAGTACTCACTCAGTACTCACTGTAGTGAGTGACAGAGAGCGCATTTTCTTGTCAACGAGAACTTGAGGTCACGGACGGATGGACAGACGGACATGGCAAGCACAATAGTGCATTTTTTCCATAAATAAGAAAAATGCGCTAAAAATGACCATTTTAGTTATATGATTTCCTCATACAAAATACCCAATTAGAACATTGATTCATTACTTTTTAAGAAAATTTACAAAAAAGCAAGTTGTTTACAGTATTGATATATTTGATAAACTTTGTTCATTGAGATTAGTTGACCAGCTATGCTGTCATACTGGAACATGTTACTCCTGATGCTTCTGTGCAACCTTTGATGAGCAATTGTGCATGAATATTTCATTTTCTGCCTAATTATGCAAATATATCACTACAAGTCTACACTCTACAACTGATGCCATTGATTTTGTATAAATTTGAAAATAATTTTTTCAAACACATGCATGGGCTAAATAATTAGATAAAATAAAATAAGCTAAAAAATTAGATCAGTACTCACTGCAGTGAGTAACAGAGTGTATTTTCTCTTCCATCCGTCCATGAAGTCACGGATAGACGGACATGACAAGCACAATAGCACCTTTTTTCCATAAATGAGAAAATGCGCTAATAATTGTTTTACTCCTGGAAAATTGTAACGCATTATCTGGTCATTAATTGTTCACTTATATATATGTATATCATTCAATGTTGCTGTAATAACATAAGTTCCATGTTGGTAAATAGCTAAACATTCAATGTGCTGATATGGACCATTTTTAAACATTGAAATTAGGTTGTTTTAGATCTTTTCTAGTGTTGGTCAGATTTCAACATTGATTTTACAATTAATTTTGGTTGTTCAGCATTTCAACCTGAAATTGACATTTTTTTCACCTTTTAAAAATAAATCAACATTCAAGATACCAATATTGACATTATTTAAACATTGAAATAATGTTGTTTTATGTCTCTTCTAGAGTTGGTCAGATTTCGATGTTGATTTGACATTTAACTTGGGTTGTTCAGCATTTAAACCTGAAATCAACATTGATTCAATGTTTAAAACTAAATCAGCATTCAATGTACCAATATCTATGTCATTTCAATGTTTAAATAAGGTTATTAAATGTCTCTTCTATTGCTTGTCAGATTGAGATATTGATTTTATATTTAATTTGTGTTGTTCAGCATTTTTACCTGAAATCAACATTGATTGAAAGTTGAAAAATAAATCAACATTCAAAGTAACAATATCATGTTATTTTAACTTTGAAAAGTTGTTTTACCTCTCTTCTAATGTTAATCAGATTTTGGTGTTGATTTGACATTTAGTTTTGGTTTTTCAACATTCAACCTGAAATCAACATTGATTCAATGTTTGAAAATTAATCAACATTAGAAGTACCAATATCAATATTATTTCAATGTTGAAATATGGTTGTTTTACATCTCTCCTAGTGTTAGTCATACATATGTTATGATGCTTAATTTGGGTTATTCAACATTTTAACCTGAAATCAACAAATAATGAATGTTTCAATGTCATATGCCTGCTGGGTATGTGTGTGTTTTATTGTTTGTTTAAGGCTGGTTTAAATTTATATAAAATGAATATTGTTTAACAAAATGGACAAAGATTACTTGGCTAAATTGTATATGTAGATTATTATTTGCAGTAATTATATACACCAATTCTGATCTCAGTTGTAGGTGCATAGAAGGTGCATCCAATGCAGCAAACTATGTATGTATAAGCTTCAGTTTTTTCATGAGGCAGTTTCAAATTAGAAAAAAAAAATTTTTCAGCATTTCTTTAAAATAGGTAGTTTATTTAAGAAAATTGGTATTTATGGATTATAATTTGCATTAAACCAGATAACAACATGTCATGCTGTGCTTGATGGCATCCTCAATATGAGAAATATGCAATGTAAAATGAGGATATGTTATCAAGCAAATTTTTTAGCCGTTTTTTTTATCCATTTCACTTATTGGGCTCTCCTGAACAATTAAAATCACCATTCTTTTGCCTCCTTTAAAATCTAACTCCAATTTTAAAGCTACAACATTGAGAGACGTAGGTATTTTATTTGTAAAGAGGAATTCTAGCTGGCCAGCTCCATAAGCCTTTTTTTCAGATTTATCTCTTTTTAGCGCATTTTTTCATTTATGGAAAAAATGCACTATTGTGCTTGCCATGTCCGTCTGTCTGTCTGTCCGTCCATCCGTGACCTCAAGTTTTTGCCAATGAGAAAATGCGCTCTGTCACTCACTGCTGTGAGTATTGAGTTATATTTTTGGTTTATATATGGTGTTAAAACTGGGAGGAAAAGGATGATAGGGGTGAAAAATTAAAAAATTCCATTAGAAACAATGTAAATGACTAAAAAAGGCAAAATTAGTAAAAAGTACTTAGTGATTAGATATATGCATTGTGAGTTGAATTGTGTTATTACTTGTAGCACATAAATTGAATGATAAATTTTTACATTGTAGTGGTTTGCTCAACTGGGGGTTCCACAAAAACCACTTGGTTATTAGCCCACTCACCCAAAGATGCTACCTCAATTATGGGAAAAGGAAACGCATCAAATATGAAAACAAAGTAGTCTGAAGATCAAATGGTTAACAAATAATTATTGGGAAAAGGATCCTTGGTGGTTGAAACACTAATCAGCACAAATATTTTGGATGAATACCCTACTAATGAAGAGGGAAATATGAAATGGGATCAATTAATGCATGGCATGTGGAGGCATAGTGTCAAATCACAGATATTTTGGAATCAGTTCATTTTTATTCTCATCTACTCAAGATTTAGATTAATAGCTTAAAAATGATAATGTTGGTATACATGATACTTCACTGGTCTACTTACACGACTCAAAAAAATGAACTAAAGAAAGAGTCTAAAAAGTCTCTGCACTATGTGTGGAGGTCAAGTTAACAATGTAGCACCAGCACAAGTACCTATGAGAGATCAAATAATCTTTGGTATCTTGAATTTAGGAAAATAAAGGGCATGAAATGGGGTTACTTGCCATCCAAGAATCCCTAAATGTTTAGTTATAAATGCTAGATAGTTATCACAGCTGAGTGCTGACAACCCCAATATTCACACACTATTACCCACCCCAGGCATTCAAACATCCCTTGGTACTCACCAACCTGTTAGCAACGTGTGGGAAACTGGGCTGGTAAATGAACTGAAAATCCCATTGGAGGCTAATGCTGGCAGGGTGCTCATTATTTGTTTTGCCAGCACTAGCCTCCATTGAAGGCTAGTGCTGGCAGGGTGCTTGGCAAACAGGAGCAGTGAAGCAAAACAGGAGACAACCTGGCTGCAGGATAAATAGGTTTCAGGCAGAGCAGGTGATTATTGTAATGGTAGGCAATCAGGTGTAAAGAAACATGAATTCAAGCATGATGAGGTTGTAAACTTTTGAACTTTATAAACACTGGATTTTTTCTCAAAAAATTTGTACAAACAAGAAGTTTGTGTATCTGTGTTTTACATATGTGTATGAAGTTTCAGAAAGATGATCAGTAGATACAGAAATTGTTTTTAGACATACAGAACCCCTTCAATATCCTTCAATTAAGGATTGTCTAATATTCTGATCAAAGCTACCACCTTTCTCCATCACTACCACCTCTCTCCATTGTCCACAGTACTGTTGGCATCAAATTTTCTGTTAGCTTTTACATTAAAACCTTACTTTGCTAAATAAATTTGTTCAAGTGCCAGTTTGTTGAAAAAATTTAATTCACATGGATGAAATATAGCTAATTGTTGCAATTAAACCCATGCCAGACTGTACAATTTTACAATGTTGTGCATAATTGCCCCACATTTAAGTTCTATCATAACTATACTATCCAACTAGGATGAAAAAGTAATTGACACCTTTGTGGCAGTGCATTGGATCTAAGTTTGCCTGCATTAAAAAAAATGAACTAATTTCATAACATGAAGAGATCATTGACTTGCTATTGTACCATAGTGTAGCATTTTGACCAACAAAATAATTCAAACTTCTCTGTTGAAAACGAACATGCAATTTCTCTTAGATATTTGAAACAGTATGCCTCTAATATTTAGTACCGTACTATTATCATGGAAATAACTTTAAATGGGTGGACATAGAAATGGGTATGAATTGGAATTTCTGAGGCCACATAGTACAAGCAAATATGATGAATTTTATGATATGACACCTGCACTTTTTTTCAAAATGCTACATGTTAAATTTTTCATCCCAAATTATGGAAGGAAAATGTCTAACATAGAAGCATTCAGTTATTCAGTAAAGTGACAGATATCAATTGGATTGTTATTGCTTATTTTGTACTGGGAAAAAAGTTGGAATGAGAATCATGTTTGTGTCCAAGAACCTATGTATATGTATGCTATTTTTTACTGCTGATATTTCAATTATTGAGCTGCACAGTAGGTGATACTATTTCTGGAGTCATAAGCAAATAATGGAAATTTTGTAGCTTGCCCACTTATGGGTCAACAGTTATAAGGAGCAATTTTGTAAATGAATGAGTTGTTAGCATCTTATGCACTTCTTAAATTTAATATTGGATTTGGATTAATTTTGATTGAATTGTCATTCAAATTTTTTAATTGCATTAATGACTTTAATGAAGATTAGTCATACGCTTATAATTTTTTATTAAAAATGTATTAATTAATTTGAGGACTGTGCAGGAGCTGTTGGCCCAAGACTGTTGTTTGCTGTGGAGCTGTTTTGACTGTAGCCTTTATAGTTTGAGGTGCTCAAGGGAAGAGCATAATGCAGACCATCAAATGTGTTGTGGTGGGGGATGGAGCTGTCGGTAAGACTTGTCTTCTCATCTCCTACACCACCAATAAATTCCCTTCAGAGTATGTGCCCACGGTCAGTAACTCCATCTTCTTGCCTAATTATACACTGTGTAAGTCCATTGTTATCTCTCTTTGTAAATTCATGGTAATCTGCTCTTGTTCCATCATTAATTTTACTGAATTTTGGAACCTCGCCTTTTTTTCAATTGAGCAACTGTTAATCAAATGAGATGTTTGAAGGGTAAAATTGGAGCTGTCCACTTGTATAATTGTTTTTCTGCTCATACCTTAAATATGATGTTATCGATTATGAAACATGAATGGTTTTTAACTATTGGTGCAACTTGATGAAACATTGTCCCAATTTGAAGTATAAATGAATTTATATTGCAATCATAAGATTTTTTTACCTTGAAATCTGTTGAACAATTTTAAAGTAGGACATTTTTATAGAATATTGAAGTGTCCTACTGATTTTTTTGCTCATGCCCTCTTATGTTTTAAGAGGGCATGATGTGTCCTATATGAACTAAATATGATAGGGAGGACTTTTAGTCTCATTTTAGGTGAATTTTTTTCTTTTAATTAATAAAGCTTCAAATTGTAATAATTATAAATAGATTATTATCTAAAGGATTAAGTATTAAGGGCGTAATTCAGTGAAACAATGTCCGACCTTGCAGGTGTTTGACAACTATGCAGTTACAGTCATGATAGGAGGAGAGCCCTATACACTGGGCCTTTTCGACACTGCTGGTAAGTACCTATGGCCAATTTCATCATGATTTGAAAGTTTTTTTTCATTAATGAGATATAAAATTTGGACAATATTTTTCTGGATTGCAATAGTGCAATTTTATTTTCGTGAAATCGTGAGACATGATAGACTCTAAATATGCTTTGCTGACTTCCTGGTTGGTGGTTCATTTCTATCATTCACGCACTAGTAGATCTTCACCAGTCACAAGCATGCACCTAATTAAGTATTATGTGAAGTTATACTATTATGTATGGTATACTCCCCCTACTATTATGTATTGTTCAAATTTTAGGGGGACGACAATCCAGTAGATTTTGTTATTTAGTTATTTTCACTGCTTTGCTATGTGAAATGTTTGGATAATATTTAGTTTTCTCGGGCAGTATAAATTTGTTAAGCATAGATCGGAAATCCGCGAAACATTCTTCCCTAAGAAAAATGCACAATTGTCATCATTGTGTTCTTGTTTATCCTCTACATACTAGTTTCCGGATCCATTATTGTCGACAACGTCGATAGCTTACCTACTATTAATTTTTAGCCAGAATGACGGGCTATCGTATTGTTGCATTCATTAATGCACAGAAGTAGTGACAACAAATGGTTTATATGGATTACTGAATTAAGCATGCATTTAAATCATGGGCCGTGTGCTAATTGATGCACGAATTTATTGAACAAGCCGTTTCATCTTCAATGTCCTCTTGCAGGTCAGGAAGACTATGACAGACTCCGACCATTGAGTTATCCTCAAACGGACGTTTTCTTGGTCTGCTTCTCAGTTGTGTCGCCTTCCTCTTTTGAAAACGTCAAGGAAAAGGTATGCATATCAACCGTGGTGTCCCAGTCTTGCCATTCCAGCACCTTACTTCTTATTGGACTCACTCGACTTCTCTCCAACCGTAAAATAAATTTGAATTTTAGTCTATTGAGGTTGGTATCAGTTGCAAGATTTAAAAGTTTTGACTAAATGACCCGAATATTCGTCCAGGTTTTCTAGCCCTTAATTGTACGTATTTATTTCAGTGGGTGCCAGAGATTAGTCATCACTGCCAAAAAACACCCTTCTTGCTCGTGGGCACACAGATTGACTTGCGCGACGATGCCGCCACCATTGAAAAGCTTGCAAAAAATAAGCAGAAGCCCATCTCGTACGAGCAGGTGAGATATTTCGGATGCTATTCTTTCCATATTCGTTATTTTGTGTCCTCTCGATTACGTTTTTTTTCTGGAACATCTCTGAAAGAATTATACCTGCAGGGGGACAAGCTTTGCCGTGAACTGAAGGCGGTCAAGTATGTGGAATGTTCGGCCCTCACTCAGAAAGGACTGAAGAATGTGTTCGATGAGGCCATCCTTGCTGCCTTGGAGCCTCCAGAGCCCCAAAGACGGAGACGGTGCGTCCTGCTGTAGAGCTCTTCTCAGCCCTCGTGCTGAGCCGACAACCTGCCCCCAGCGTCACGCGACCACCATCACCACCACCCATGCCGTACTCATGGTTGCTTCTACCGTGCGCGTGACGCTAGAGCAATCTCGCGTGCACGACTGTGGCCTTTTGCTTAGTGGTGCCAAGTATTGCTTCTTGTGCCCTGCGGTCGGCCACTACCACGTCCGCCACTGCACTGTAGATACAAATTTCGCACTCATCTCTTCTATAAAACCCATCCATCCAAATCCTATCCTCACTTTGCCGTTGAACAGAAAACTACTTTTTATAATTTTTTTTTCTATTATAGATAATTTCAGCACAATTATCTTTGTTATCACGACGTCATGTAAAATTTGTCTCTTGATTCAGAAAATGTGCACCTAGCTTGTCACAGCTCATGCTTCATGCGATGGCCAAAATATGCTACGCTCTATGTAAGGCTGCTTAATCCGCATTGGTCATTTTATTGAAATACTAAATTTACTCTACACTATACTTTCAGGACATTGGTAGAAAAAACGTGTCCAGTGCGGCATGAACAAATACCGGTCCTTTGTTGTATAAGTAACTTCCAATTTGATAGCATTACACGCTCTGAAGGATAAGGCTTCAATTGCGTTTCCTGACCTGAATAATTCGAGTCGTGATTTCTTCTGAAGATTACGTGCATCAGTCTTAACTTTGTTGTATCAATTGTTTTAACGCTGTAGTTTATTCAAACAAATATTCACTCTATTAAGGAAGCCCATATCTATTATTTATCACTATGATTGGTTGGTGCGCACATGATTGCTTTGCACCTTTAGGCCAGAAATCGTTATTGTCGAATTTTACATAAAGCTTCTACTATATAAACAATGTGAAGTGTGTTTAGTCGTAAGTTTGATGCCGCGGCCTGCGAGGCGGTTTAGATATAACCTGATGGGCTCGTGAACATCATTGGCCCAAATGTTGAGGGTACTGGGCTGTCTCCACGAAAATGACCTTTACTATCAGTAGGTAGTGTGTAAGTTAATCTCTAAGATGACATTTTTACTGCAAAAGTCGCTTTATCTTCAAAACCTATGAAATGTCACTGCATAGACCATAGAGCCTCACCTGTCTTAGGTGTGTCTAACCACATTTACAAAGGAGGCTAAGGTTAACTGTTGCTGCCGCAGATGGTAGTAACTGAAGAAGTAACCCTTGGTAAACTACCCTTCCCAACACATACCAAGGACGATATTACATCGTCCTGATGTCTTTGTGTAATTAGATTGCAAGCAAATCGAAATCTTTGCAAAGATTGGAGATATTGCCCTGTATAAGAAAATTCATTAATATACTTGAGCATATTCATTTCCCTCGTTCACATTCATTCGATGAGCTTATACTGCTAAGGGTTTTGGTAATCAAAGCAAATCGGTGGTGGTACGTATATTCACAGAATAATTATTTTCCGTTACAGGGCCTTTGCCGTGGGTATTTGCTGAACGCCAAGGCTATTCATTTTAACACATTTCCATGTCAGGTCGAAATTACCTTGAAGTGATGAATTACCTTGAACAATGAAAAAAAAAATCTTTAACATTCACTCACTACCACTTCTTCCCGAAATTTCAGTTAGATGAACAAGATAGATAAATGGGGAAACAAAAAAATCCTACCAACCACCACCGACAGTTGACCGCACGGTACACATTATCGTGCACGCGAGTATCGCAAGTCGGCTAGCAAGCGTGGCACAGAATGGGTGTCCAGTGCCGCCTACTGCACTAGCACTGTCTCTTTCTTCACCAAGAACTCGATGACTTCTTCCATCATTTCGTCTGAGGCTACTCCAGAATCGGTATCCTTCCCTGGAATACGAAAGAAGAAATGTTTTAGTTAACCAAATGTTTATTTGTTACGGACAAATCTTTCCTAAGGAACTGGAAAGGTTCTTGAACATCAGAAAAGCCAAGCAGAAAAAATGTTATTTTAACCGGATGAAATAGTCGGATAAAATTGATACACAATATTGAAATAGAACAGGTTTCCCGTAATTAACTGATGAATAACTGCTAAACTCACAAAACTTGCTTCATTAATGCGCTCGTCAAAAAATAAGTCTGTTTTGGGATAACAGTAACAAGAATACTAACTCACCTCGCAATTTGATGCGTTCTTTTTTCTCTGCGCTCAAGCGCTCCTTGGTCTGCTGTCGATATTCGTCAAACATTTTCATGAGTTCCTGGCGTTTTTCGATTATTTCCTTGTTTGCTTTGCTGCTGCGCATCTTGTCTTGTATCTCAAAAGTGGCCGTGTACTTCTTCATGTTCCTCTTAATGTCCTGAAGAAAAAAAAAATATATTATGTTTCTTGTCAGGACTCGACACCCCCATTAACGTGATTCAGAAAGATTGATTATAGCTGAAGATCCTAATCGTTAAGACGAAGATAAAATAATGGATTCATGATCACCTTGAAGTCTTGAGGCGTGAGCGGGGACGGCGGTCGGGGTCGGAAGATGAACTGGCATAATTGGTCCAAAGGCTGCTTCCTTAGACATTTGCCTTGAAAAGACCACAGCCAATATGCGTTGTCCACCTGACATAATATTTCAATGAATTATCTTCATATTAGAGACGAAATCAAACGAGCACAAATTGGAGGTCGCGGATGTGAAGATTGTAGATGCTAAGCAGGGGTTTCTTCCCGGGAAAGAAATGCAGAAATAAAGAAACATACCATATAACATACTGTTCAATCATATATTATTCGTACGTTGATAATGATTACATTGATGAACATCAACCCTACATTACCCCTTAACCGTGCTCTATGCACGACCAATATTCTATGCTCAACATTCCAAGCAAGCCAATTGGTTAACTAATGAAAATAGTTATTAACACCGATAAATAAATAGCAATGGCTTCATCCTAAAAAGGTTGTTCTATGAGAATGTATTTATCCGCCTCATTTGGAGGTCGTGGTTTGTTGAAAGAAAACTCACCTTGTGTCCCCACCACGACACGACGGTGGCCACATAGCGGCCGGTAGGATCCCACTCTATGTCCGTGACCATGAAGTGCTCCGTCGTTTGCATCACCTGAGACAACAAGCCACCTCATTCAGTAAAAGCACCTCGCAGGCCATTAGGTAGTTAATCACAGCTTCTTTAATAAACGAGACAAATTTCAAAGCTTGACAAGTAAAATTCGAGGATTTCTCTTTTGGATGAATGTAACGTTGTCGCATCTTAATAGAATTTAATTTCAATGCGAAAATTTTGGAAAACAATTCGAGAATGAAACTAAAGAAACAAAGCTGCCTTCTCCTTAGAGGAAATTGACAATTTGTACCGATTAAAAAGAAATAAAATTTCACGAACTACATTGTTGCTGTAACTATGGACAACAATGATACGCACCTGGAAGTCCTTAGTGTCAATGAACTCTAAAGCGCCACTCATTTGGCCCAGACCAGCCAACACCAAAAACTGGCCACGTGGCGACCAGAAGATGGAGTTGCACGCACGCTTCTCGAATCTCTTGAGCTCGGTGGGCGCCTGGCCTTTGTTGACCTGGTAGAAGGAGACGCTGATGGAAGGAGACTCGCCGCTGATGATGGCAAACTTGTTGTCCACGGGCTCCCACTCAAAGCACTGCAAACAAACACGTTCATCAGTCTTCTTCATAATGGGCGAATAGAGAAAATTATTCATCGAAAATGTTTTCTCTAATTCAAATTTGTTTGAACCTTTGCAGCAAACTTGGATTTGCAAAAGCAATACCAGAAGGTAATGCTGATTATCACCATTCTAAAAAAATATATTTATTCTACAACAATAACGTTAAACAAGGATATTAAAATATGGATACATAAGGTTACTCACAAGAATATTTTCTTTGATTTCAATGCTGTCAACGGGGATTCCTTTTTCTCTCATGTGAAAGATTTCAAAGCTGTAGTAAATACCGGTGTATTTGACTTCGTTCTTCTCCCTCTTGGCTTTGGTGTACCGTTCCACCTTCACGCAGAGATAGTCGCCGCACTTTTGCCAGTGCATTTTGCACGACGCAACGTTGAACAAATTCTTGGATCGTATCTGTTAAGGAAAAAATACATCGCATGATGAAGTGTTCAGAATTGGCATTCTTGTCACGGTTCTTAAGCCTTCGGCACAGCTGCGGGCGAATCTGAGAAATATGAAACAGACACTTTTCCCCAACTGTAAATTTGAGCAGTTATAAACCAAGTACTCTGACAAATTATAATTCAAAGGGCAGCTGATTGCATGGAGCAACCATTGTAATAGTCTGAAAATAACCAAATGAGTTGAGGCACGAGTAATTCAAGAAAATTTCGATCACAAAAAATATCAATTTGTATTCCATGCGTACCAAGTTGTCTCCTACTTATGGATTGAAGCTGGCATTGAGGAGTGTGGTGGTAACATGAGACGAATAGATATGGAACTTTGGACATCAGCCATCGAAGTTCCTATGCAATAAATTATGAAGTAAACAAGCTGCAGATGTGCATCTTCTCGCTTAAGAACTGATAGCCTAACATCTGCTCTGGTAGGATTAAACAGACTTGCATCGTTTATCTTAGTGTGGACAGACTTACGTCTTCTCTGTTAGGTATCGACATGATGGAAACTTTAGCAGGTACGTCCTTGTTCTCTGCAATCCAGTACGCGATGACGTTGTTGGTGGGGGACCAGCTGAAGTCTTTCACGCCGTTGATCTTGACGCTCTTCTTGTCTAACAGACCGAATGACTGCAATAGAGAAAATGATATGTGAGTAGAATAAGTATAAAAGTATCTCTACTACTAAGTTGTTGAAATAGTTTTTTTGAATTGACAGTAAAATTAAAATCTCTGACATACTTGTGGCTCGTGTACAAGCCTTCAGAATCTACATGCGTGAGATCATCATGAGTCTTTTTGCGTTTCAGATTACCCATATCATTATAGTACCCTAATTTCTAAGGGGAGATAGGCTTATAACACATTTAATTTCCAAGAATTTATCTCATTTAAACTTATTTCTATCTGAACTTGAAGCATAACTCAGAGATTCCATTAGTAATAGAAGCCAAAGCCCCAAATTTGAATCATTAATAACACTAACCATACATGATAACGGTCGTCTTATTTTATGAGAGTAAATTTTAGCCTTTAAGAGAACCCGTTCCTTTTGTCCATTACACTTCAACTTCAATAGAATTTATCATCTAATGCACAGAAGCTCCCAACTCTGCTCAAATTTCAACTAGAATTTGAACATACCCTTAAACAAACGTTAATCGGTAAATCTGGAAATGAAATGGATGAACACTATCACGAGTAATATTCCCAGACCGTGGTCGAAAACTGTAGGATAAACCTGCAGCAAACACCACCTCAGTCATAATAAAATTAACATTTCATTTTTAATCCTTGCAATGGTTTCTGTCACTTTTAATTATTCTAGACAATTCATAAATTGAAGTACATTAACTTCATTCATGAACAAACTACTACACATGCAGGCAGACTGAAAGAGTCTAACACTGGGTTTTGAGGCAGCCATACACAACTCACAGGAGTTTCATACACGCTGATGAGGTTTTCACCCATACGGGCAAAGTATTTGTCATCTGGCGACCACTTGAAAACTGGCCATACAAGCATGCGCTCTGCATGGAAGGCTCGCTTCTTCTGGCCTGTGCGGAAGTCCCAAATAAAGATGGATTTTGGGTCTTCTCGCTGCTCTACAGTTGGGGAAAACGTGACTATGTACCTAACGAAAGAAAAAATGGCACATCTCATAAACAAAGCAATGTAAAGAAATTTTAATTTGGATGAAAAGTTGTACAAGTAATACAACGTTCACTCATAACAATGCAGGTTTCTTTACAAAAGAAAATTAATTAGAGATTAACCAATATCACCAGATCAACATTTATTGGACAGTAACTTGGTAGCTTAACTCACTTCTCCATTGGTGAAAAATCAATAAATTGCACTCCTGGGTGATGGAATTTTTGGATTTGTTTGAAATCTTGTCTTCCCCAGAGGGCAATTCCCTTCTGATGAAAGGTAGCAAGGCACGTCCCGCGGGGCGACCACCGCACCATCGTCTCTGTCCAGCACTGGAGAACGCGCCTCACAAGTTACTCAACAATCACATATAAAATAATGAATAATGCAGCAAAGGATGTTTAGCGCACCTTAAATGACCATGACAATAAAATGAGATTGCTCACTCTTTCTATCTCTTACGCAACTATTTCATTTCTTTTAGATAATTAAATTTATTCAGGATATAATTTCCTTCAATTTTTTTATTCAAATTACTACTTTCAACAGTGATCAACATTTTTTTAAAGTAAAATTACGAGTGAATTCAATGCAAAAAAAATTTTTTTGCAAAAAAAAATTTTTTTGCTAGAACAACATTATAGACTAGAGATGCGTTGTGACGGTGACTCGAGTTCACACATATTAAAATTCTTCAATTTAATATGACCAGTTAAACAGAACTGGTCCACATACCGTTCTCTCTTCAATAAGTGTGGGTTCAGGAACCGAGTTGAGATAAATAGCTGTCTTGCCACCAGCATCGTATATAACGGCGAATTGATCGAAGCAGTTCTCATCAAGCAGGTAATAGTGAACGTTGCCCATATCCTGCGAAAACATAAATAAACTTTTGATTGGTCAATAATCCTTACAGTCCACAATATCATGATTTCCACGTTCTGTGCATACACAAATAATTATGAACATGAAACATGCCGCAAAAAATAATCAATATTCTTCTTGTTGCACAATAAATGTTTTACAGATATGTAACTAAAACATTCTATGAAAATTGAAAATATCAGTATGCTGGTAATATTTATGAAAATTTTAATTAAAATCTTTGCTCATGAAACAACATTAAGTCATCCTTGGCAGAAGCGCCAATTTATTCCTATGCGATCGTATATAAATATGATGGTAGCGGACCGATTGATGAACAACAGGAAGCAAAGTAATCCTTTGGCAAATAAATTAGCATCAGTCTGGGAGAGCACCTGGTATGGCTGGGGAGCTGGAGTCTCAAAATTCTCTGGAACATTTGTATATTTGTCAACATCAGTGAGTAAATTACAGCTCAAAGTGTGAGACTTGTCCAGCTTGTAATTGTTGCGCAACCTCACAGCCTCTTCAGCACTGGCACGATCCTTCATCTCCAAGAAAACAAATCTGAAAAATTTGTGAAGATATTAACATAAAGGAATAGACAGACTTCCTTGCACACATAGCCAATCTCATGTATTCAGCAGTTACAGTGCTCCGGCCAGTACCGTTCAGTCATAACAACAGGATTGAAATGAATCCAGTTGGCATATCATAGCCTTTAGGTGACTCAGTCATTCTTCAAACAAGTTACATTGCATTCCATTCTGTCATGGAGGTTACTTTCATGGCGACTTTTTCCGTAATATCTTTATTTGAGCATCAGTTTTGGCTTTTTGACTTCACTACGCAGCTCCAGTGTCAGCTGTAAATAATAAATATAATTATATAATCAGCTATGATCAAAAATAATTATTGTCTTGCGCAACATGTTTGTTTCAGTGTAGGACTTGAACAGTTAAGAGTTATCACAGTACCTGAAAAGTTTTGTTATGCACACGTGTACAATCTTTTAAAGTAAAACCTTGATATGAACAAAATTCCAGGAAAACGAGATATTTTTATAATTCAACATCAGTATTGTGCCAGTCTTGTAAGGTTTGTTTGCTAGGCTGAAAAACTGATCAAGTTCTGAATCGAGTGCTTGAGCCACAGGAGAGATTATAAATGTGGAGGGTGAGAAAATTTAATGACTAGGTAGCATTAAATATACATTTATTGTGCCAAATGGCAAAATACATTTTCTTGAAAGTACAAGAAAAATTTATTCTTGACATAAATAAATTTACCAGTAAAAATCTCACCCTTTTGTTATGCCTTCTTCATTAACAGGAAAATGTTCATTGACAATTCCATTTCCAAAATCTTTGAAGAGTTTCTTCATGAGACTCTTCAGCTTTTCCAGTCTGTCAGGGCCCACTTGAGGAACCCCATCAACAATGATGACGTTTTGGGTCGCATCGCTCTCTTTTGGACGCTGTCTCAGGAGGTCACCAAGAAGCTCTGAAACAAAAATAATTTTATTCTTTGTTCAGGGATTAGTGGTTATCGTTAGATTTGAGGTTATAAAATACTAACCGGTTTTTATTGCGAACCGGGACAGAGCCTGTTGTCTCGTCTCGTCTCGGATTAAAAAAAATACCAAACGCAGGAGTCTAGTGCATTGTAGTAGAACTCTTCTAGTTACATATGCAAAAGACACATTTTAGGAAAGTGTCATAGTTTGCAAATGGGGGGCGCCACCCCCCAATGGGCGAAATTTGACCACCTAATGGCAGCCGTGACGGGGTAACATTGACCAGTTTGGAAATTAAGTTAAAATTACCATATATAAGACTCTTTAGAGTCTGAAACATAAAGAAAAAAACATAAATAGGTGTATCAAACGTGAAATATGTTATATAGGTACCTATGGTAATTTTAACTTAATTTCCAAGTCGGTCAATGTTACCCCGTCAAGGCTGCCATTAGGTGGTCAAAGTTCCCCCATTGGGGGGCAGTGCCCCCCATTTGCAAACAATGACACTTTCCTAAAATTTGTCTTTTGCATATGTAACTAGAAGAGTTCTACTACAATGCATCAAAACCTGGAGTTATTTTACCAAAAAATAAAAAAATTGGTGGGGGTACTCTGACAAGCTCTAAATAATAGCTCTTTTTCGTGGGCCACATTATTAATTTTTTAACCTATTAGATATGCAAACTTTTTCAATCTTTCTATTGTGTTACATAGCCTCAGTATTAGGCCTTTGATGGCCATTGACAAAAATTTTCTATGTCAAATCGTTTTCGAGTTTTGGGGGTTTTTGTTAAAAAAAACAAAAAGTGGTCAAAGTTACCCCGCCGGTCAAAGTAACCCCATTTTACGGGACCATTGATGCAGGTTAAAATTCAACAAAAAAATTACTTCCTTATGATTTAATATACTGTCAAACCGGGTAAAAAGGGACGGGCAGGCGGCAGGGTAAATTGGGACGCGCATCCCACTTTTCGTAGAAATGTTGTAGCAGCTAAACTAATTATTTTATTTCAAAACTAAAAATAGTGGAGTAAACTTCAACATTTTTACTACCATAAAATGGGGTTACTTTGACTGGCGGGGTAACTTTGACCACTTTTCGTTTTTTTAACAAAAACCCCCAAAACTCAAAAAAAGATTCAACATGGAAAATTTGGGTCAATGGCCATCAAAGGCCCAATACTGAGGCTACGTAACACAATAGAAAGATTTAAAAAGTTTGCATATCTAATAGGTTAAAAAAATTAAAAATGTGACCCATGAAAAAGAGCTATTATTTAAAGCTTGTCGGAGTACCCCCTCCAATTTTTTTATTTTTTGGTAAAATAACTCCAGGTTTTGATGCATTGTAGTAGAACTTTTCTATTCCTGTTAAGTTTGTGTACTTACACACATTAAAATATGATTTTTCAAGTGTACGAATATTTATTTCCCCCCACTGTATATCTCACCTACAACAGGGGACACTTCAGACCCAGAAACAATATTACAGCACAAAGCAGTTTCAATTTAGCTGGAAAGTTGTGGTTCACTTTTCTTCATAGGGTAAATCATTTCTATTGAAGGCTGGCAACTTGAGTACCATTGATGCAGGTTAAAATTCAACAAAAAAATTACTTTTAATAATTTCATATACTGTCAAACCGGATAAAAAGGGACGGGCAGGGTAAATCGAGACGCGCATCCCACATTTCATAGAAATGTTGTAGCAGCTAAACTAATAATTTTTTTGCAAAACTAAAAATAGTGGCATAAACTCCAACATTTTTACTATCTATTACATATAAAGCTAGTCAAGAAATAAAACATTTACTAGCTCTAAAAAATTGCTGAAAAAAAGTGTGAAAAGTGCAATTTTGGAAAAGTACCTCTGCCAAGATTTGGAGCAACAAAAATATTCACCGTATTAAAAAATTTTACTTACATAAAAGTTGCACTCAGGTGTTGGCTTGAAAACTTGATTGATGGAATTTGCCTATCTCATTTAAAAAAAAATGGCAGCCAGTTCCGCGCAACGGGGTAAAAAGGGACACCCCCCTGGGGTAATTAGGGACACCATTAAAAAGGCATTTACAGTAGAACCTCAGTTAGCAAAGGCTCCAGTTACCAAAAAAATTGATTAACAACAAAGAATTTTGATTACATATACCTTGCTCAGCAAAAAAATTTTCCTTATTGGAAAATTAGTGCAACATCGGTCGTCACAAACAAAATTGTACATAGAATGCTATATAAAGAATTGTGCACCAGGCATCATAGAATGAAAAGTAATTGACCTAAACTATGATTTATTACTCCAAAACATATGATGGTTGTCACTATTTAAAATATTTTCTGTTTCAGGTATGTTTTTCACAATCTTTTTTGTTACAGTGAAATCACTTGACTTGATTAAAATTGTGCAAAATTACAAACCATCCTGTAAGCTTACAGATACAGAAGAAATGCTACATGGCTGCTGATATGAAGCTTGCAGTGGACAAGGTCATAGTCACTGGCACTCACTGCTCAATGGCATGTCCATGGATACAGTAGGGTAAACACACCATATTCCGACACATTAAGGACGTACCGGTACCAAGAAATGAATGGTTTTAAAAAGATTACCATATGCACAACTCGAGTTCTGATTGCTTTACGTCACTCTCAAAACACTACACTAGGCGCCAGCAACAATGAAATGTCACAAACTGTTGCCATATTTATTAAAAGGCCTTTAGAATTCAAATCTACAAAATCCCTGAATTTCAATGCTGTGTGTGACTAAATTGGGCATATTGTGAGACTACTTCTGACAGCGCTTCAAACTCTTACTAATTATTATTCTGACGCCCAGTGTTGGAAATCCAACGCCCTGTGTGAACTGTATCGGAATACGACACAGCTCAGAACGAGCTTAACTAAAAAATTTATTTTAATTAAGCTCAATTAAAAAATTTTAATTAAGCTTTTCATTAAGAGCTAATAAACTTTTAATTAGGAAAATTTTAATTTTTGAACACAGTTCAGAACGAGCTGTGTTTGTCCAATTCCAAGCTGTGTTGGAATTAGTTTTTATGTGTCTAAAACTGTCTCTTAACTTAATCATCTATTAATTTATTCACCACTTAAAATCAGAAAATACAAGTATACATAAAGGATTCCAATCCTAATATATTCACAGACTTATTTAAAAGTCTTAAACTATAATATTCTTTTTACACAAACATTTTATCACTATTTGGCAGAGCAAGGTTAGCTATCAACTTTGGCATATGTTTTGATGTTCTCACTAGTTGACTTGGACTTTCACTCTGAGGATCTTAACATTTTCCCGCCGGACCTAGTTTTTTGCAGGAATGTGGCACGCAATAGTATGACGTCACTATTTCAACCATCTACGGACCTAGTGTTTTGCGGGAATCTGGCGCGCAATAGTATGACGTCACTATTTCAACCATCTATGCATGTGTGGAACTAAGACAAAGCTTAAAATAAAGGAAAAAGTTGAGAAGTGTCAGAATTACCCACGATGTTGGAATATGGTGCATTTACCCTAATATCACATTAATAATACAGTACCTGGGTAATTAATGAATATGGTATTATGGTAATACAGTGTGGAATTCTAGAGGGATAACAAATTAACCAGTACACATAGCATATTGGAAAGCAGGACCTGAAAACTTGGAAAGGCCAGGAACTTTACACTTTCAGTCCATTATTTACATATCCTATCCCTTTCAGAATTCCAGCTGTGATTGGTTGATAGGATTGTGATTTTAGCCCCTTCCAGCTTTCCAGCTGTGGTTGGATAATGGAATTGTAATGTTATCTGCTTTCTAGCTGTGATTGGTTGATGGGGATGCTTTCAAGCTGTGATTGGTTGTGCCCATATCCCATAAGCCCCGCCCCCAAGTATGGTATATGTACTACAGTACTGGTCAACTAAATACTGACTGAAACTTGATCATTACAAACAAAAGACCTGGAAAATTTAAAAAAATCCATTAAATAAAAGTCAAATAAAAAGTATCTATCAAACAAGAGACATCCAAATAATTCTTTTACAAATCTAATGTCCTATAAAATTGAAACATTTTGTCCACTTTTGATCCTCCTTTTCATTTATAGTCAGTAGTCACTTAAGTCAGTCACCTGGCAGTGCTGGCAAAACACTGTGAGTGTGGGAGAGCTTTCCAGCTTGGGTGGAAAGCTTTTTTATAAGTGAACTTCCATTCTTAGAATTCCAGCCTGTGGTAATATCATATCAATAAAGGAAAAACAAGTAAAAATCACAGAAAATGTCATTTATTTTACATCTACATCATCTACAATGAAAGAGGACTTCAGAGTACTGTTAGTAATGGATAAGTACACTCTGCATGCTTCAAATGTTTTAAAATTAACTTTTATTGCAAGTGTCCCAGATTGCCCCGTTCCCAGGACCCAGGGGCAAATCAGGACGGTTTTATTTTGCATCTGGCCATAGTGACAAAGACATTTCTTAGAATCAGTTCATTTATAATTTCCTCATTTAGTTAAGATTTTAGCCAATTTCTTAAGTAAGATAATTTTGGTAGCTATCCATGATACCTACTTTACTGGTCTACTTATAAAACTTGAAATAACCTTGAGAAGTTGAGGGAGAGTCTAAAAAACTCTCTGCTTTGCCATTCAGCCATTATGCATGATGATGATCTGGCACCTTACAAATAGCACATGCCATGGATTTTTTTGAAGATGCCATACCCATAATGCCATTGGATAGCCCTTGCAAAGAGCTAGGTATAAAATGAGCCTTAACTTGTTTCTGAAATGTAACATTCATGGCATGGTAAGAAGTTATTAACAAAAAAAACGCTCAAAACCGTCCCTTTTTACCCCGTTTGACGGTACAACATACATCTCCTGCATCTGCTTGCATAGTGACAAACCAGAGATTTTTTATAATCAGTTAATTTTTAATTTCCAAATTTTCTCAAGATTTGAACCAATTTCTTATGTATGATAATGCTGGTATCCATGATACTTTACTGGTCTAGTACTTATAGGACTCAAAAATGAACTTGAGGGACAGAGGGAGAGTCTAAAAAACTCTGCTTTGCCACTATGTCTGCTTGCATACCAAACATTCAAATGATCATTTTATACAAAGAGTTGGAAAATACAACCCAAAATATACAATAATTGGGAACAAAATTTTTACTTCAAAATTCAAATCTACCACTTAATAGTTCTTTAACGCTATCACGTATCACCTTATTCTAATTATTCAATTCTAATCCTATTGAAAATAATTGAAATTAGAAGCCATTTCCAAATTCACGACAGCGCTCATAGATAATACTAGGTACATCTGTCACATCATGCATGGTTATTTCATTTCAAAACTGTTACAAATGCATACCTTCATCAGATATAGAATCAACAAAACCTTCAGGATCACTGAAGTCTAGTTCTTCATCTTCATTGTAATTATCATTTTCCATAGTCTTTAATCTATTTTTCTTGGCCATTTTGTAGGAGCCGCCACGTGTCGGCGTTTTATATCGGTGCGGGTTCAGGTACGACTGGTTCGAATGACAACTCTATAATAGTACGAAAAAAATAATAAAATTTCAAATTGCAAATCACAATTACAATACTGAGTTTTTTTTTATTAAGCGGAAGTAGGAAAACTATTTGGCAGTTAATCAATTATAAGCTATATAAAATGAGTGGCTACTGTTTCGATACAGTAAACTCTTCTAAACAAAATCAAAGCATGATGATTTGTAAAGTCACCGTTGAGATGAGAAATTTTAATATTGGGTAGGCCTTTAAATAAAAACATCGACTCTTCTGGGAAGAATTTTCATAGCAGGTCTTCTACACATAAGTTTGTCAAATCTAAATCCATCGGGACCAAATTAAAAAATGGAGATATTTATTGGCATTACGCTCATTCTAGCATTAACATAATTATTTAATTAAGCTCCGATGGGAGACCGAATCGACACTTCAGCGAACTCGCCTGCGAACTCGCCTGCGAGCTCGCATGCAAAACCTAACTTAATTTTCAACTGTGGCACGCATAACTCCGTCAATAATGGACGGATTTTCTTCAAATTTGAAATATAAGTAGATAATATCAGTACGCTAGTGTCGATTCGGTTAATAAACAAACGCACAAAATAGGCAGAAGTTCAAGAACTAATTAAATGGAAATTTAATTCAAATTAATATATAAAATGACCAGAGGCAATGTAGTCGATTTGTTAAAAAACAAAAACATTTTCAGCGTGTAGCTATCATGAGAATCCTGGGGGTAATAAATAATGAGTATGGGATAATAAATCCTAAATCCACGACGTAATATTTCATTCTGAATTGCTAGATACTTGCAAAAAATTCTTTTGTGTAGATTAAATGTATATGATTATGTAAAACAATCCTGATCTGCAGTCTTTCACATTTGTATATGTTATTCTGGTAAAATTGCACTGGCTCTTCTGCTGCGATTTTAACGAAAAATTGTGTGTTGTATTTTCCATGAGTAATGTATTTATTATGTACTCTAATATATAACATGCATGCGTGTTATCTAATGCGTGTGGGAAATACAATTTACTTCCCATCTTTTGTATAATTTCATAATTAAGAGTTCCTTGCCTGAATGCGTGGTACGATTTCTTGTTAGTCTTCCCTAATTAAATGGATGTGTTGGTGAAAACTCTTTGTACTTTAATTTTTGGCGTCGCTTCCTACAAGAAATCAGAGTTTTATGCTAAAATTTACCACATCTCAAGATCTATAAAAGAGTTTTTAGTTTGTTTTGGCATACAGAAATGTTTCCAAAAGAAATCGTTTGTTTCGAAAATTAAAACATAACAAAATGTTTTTTATTAGATTTAAGATATACAGAAACTCTGAGTTTCCTGCGTTGAGCTCTCATTTAATCATGATGAAAGCCTTTTCATTGCAAATTTTTCCAAAATTTCGGCCCGTTCAACGCACTCAGCCGCGGTAGTCGTCTATGGACATTCTTAACTATGAATTCGACAGATAACTCCTCTCATAAATAAGATAAAAATCTGAAATTTGGAATGCTATCCTGGCTAATTATTTTCAATCTGTGGACATTAAGATAAATTATGTAAACTTTGTATTACCAGTGTTATCGCTAACGAAAATTTTGAACCATAAGGATCGTAAAANGAGCGATAATCACAATGATACAAAGTATCATGGTATGCAGTATCACGCTATCACGCTATGCATCTTGAGCAATGTGGCACAAGACGCTATATGCAATATATAATTGGAGCATTCATGTAGATGTGGAAATTTTCATTTTCCGAAATTCCTTACATTATACGGTTAGTGAATTTTCTTTAATTGCATGCCTTTCAAATCCTTCAAAAGTTTTAAAAATGACCAGAAGCAGCCCGTATGAGTAATAAAGCAATATTTGGAGGTTGTTTTTGCACAGCTTTTGGCAGAATTTTTACAGCACAGCGCGAAATTGTGGTAAGGCGATGCCACTTGTATTGTGTACAGTACACAAAGGAGCCATACATGAGAGCATGAGCATCTCTTACAACCTGTGTTGGAGCGACGATCACCGGCTGAGTGACTAAGAAAACAAAAGCCAATTGATGAATGTGGAGAGGTGGAGTGAGTTGAGGTGAGCCCCCATGGGGGTTGAAGGAAGGGGATAAATTCCTCAATACTCCTGTTTTATTTATACATTGGCTGAAATTGGTTGAATACATCGCACTTGTTAATACAGGGATGAGACAATATTTGCACTGGATTTGTCCGTGTGTTTGTTAACCTGTTGACAGGGTATGATTGTGTGAACGAGATATAGCGTACTTATTTGAGGGTATGAGGGTACCTTCACCCCCACGTCGGCTGTGACGCTGGCACCACTGAACGTTGTTTATAAATGTAGCGGGTAGGGGAGGGGATCAGGGTGAGCTTGGAGGGGAGAGGAGGCGTTCGATTATTCTAGCCTTTTATTTCTTCACCAGTTCCCAGACTGTTCATTGTTCTGAACAGTGACGAAGTATTCCCAAACATAAAAAAATATATATAATATCAATGAACAGACTACATTATTGCTATGAATGACACATAACAAAGGTTTCAGGAAAGACAATGAGACTGTAATGTAAAATAAAAGCTGTTGTAAAATTAAAAGCGTAGAATAAGTCTGTCTTCAAATTTTTTTACTTAGCTTTGGGGCGTTGAATAATACACTAGTTGACAAACCATGCAGCTCTGTCCCGTATATGTTACGCGTACCCGATACATGACCTAATTATTTAAGCAATTAATTCATTCACCAATTCCTCTCTCTACATTCATCCTTTCCTCCACCTCCCTAAATCATTCAGTCCCCCTTTGTTCGCTGCCCCACCTTCCTACTCTTCCCCATGCACCTCCTCTTGAAACTTGAGCCTCCCTTTACACAGCATTCCTTTATTCGCGTCGACAGCAGAGGAAACTCTCAGTAAACTTCCAAAGTAACCAGTGATCATTTTTTTTGGAAATCATTCAATAAGTGAACAGATTAATATCACGAATGTAATTAAAATAATTTTATCGACTTACACTATAGTTTTCTGGCTTTCTTCAATGTGCGAAAATAGTTTTTGAGCCGGCTATTATTTGCGTAAGAAACTAAATGATCGTAGTTGCAAATAACCATGAACAGTTTGAATGATCAGAATAGACCAGTGGATACTGTTCGCAGTGCACTGAATTTCTCCCATCTGCAGCGAACGGTTTATCTATTAGTGAAAAATAAGCCGCTGTCTGCAGTGCAGATGAGAAATTTTGCTCTAACTCGGGAAATAGAGAGAATTTAAATACATAGTAATGAAAATGTTTGCCTCGACGAAACTAAAAAAATCCATGCACAATTAATGTGCAGCTCATACTTCACTATTCTCGCGCACCTTAGACCACGTCACTACGCTGCCAGACGCTGCCGCTGCAATTTACAATGCTCTCGCCCAGTGTGCCGAGTTTAGAGTTGGAGCGTCCATGAACGGGCCTCTTAACAGAGGGCACTTCGCGTATCTTCGACACAAGGTGCCATCACTTACTAGATTTACCCTTGTTTTTTCGCATGAAAAAACATGGAACCGCTTTTTACTTCCACTCTCTGTTTGCATTCTCTTTCACTGATTTCACTTCAAGTCCTTTTAGTGAGACGTTTCAATACAAAATGCGTTAATACAGTTCAACCGCATAGTGAAAAGGCAAGCTATGAGCCCGCGCAGCACGCACGTCCGTCTTGTGACACGGCTCAACCGCGACATCATAGCCTGGTATGTTGAGCAAATGCGAAAACCTCTGTATAATAATGTTTGAAGCCCATTTAACTTGAACTGGAATGAACAAAAACTAAAGAAACTGGTATTTAGACCGGAGAATGTCGGCTTTCGGAACACAGAAGTTAAAGAACGGCCATTAGATTTCGTAATATTGCAATCAAGGAAGGACAAACTATTGTTAGATTCGAGCTCCATGGTAAATTTGATAGAATTATGTTGCGAGTTTAGGTAATCAAATAATGGTTTGACATGGGAGGGATGTTGGAAAATTAGAAATGTGTCATCGACATATCTATTATAGAATATTGGCTTGAAATCAAGAGGACAATTGGCCAGCCAAGAAACCTCGTGAAAACACTTCACGCACTCTTTATTCCAGGATCGCTGAGCATAAGGGCAGGAGTTGTAGGACCGGACAGTTGCTATCGCGCCCCCCTCATTCGGCTGTGCGCACTCACGCCGAGCAGTGTGATGTGCCTGTTTCTGACAGTGACTTTAGGGTGTTAGCTTCTACCTACGGTACTTCAGATTTGCGTATCATAGAATTATTGTACATTTTTAGGCTTAGGCCCAGTTTAAATTCAGCTGTGAGCCCCTATCCCCTTGAAATTGTGAATAGATAGGTTTTTATGCCCTATTACTTGTAAATTTAGGTTCTAATTGTGTTCTGTGCTTTCAATTGTGTTAACTTGTGACTTTCTATGTATATATGTCGCTTAGTGAAAACAATATATGTCTGCTGAGTCAACACAATATATGCCTGCTCAGTCAACACAATATATTCCCTTGTACATAACCCGATCCCTGCCACTACCCAAATAAAAAATTAAGGGTGGCGCACCGATGATTATAGGTGGCGTAACGGTGGGTGGCCAGATCTGCCGAAAATCGACACTAAAACACCAATAAATCGAAAGGGTGGCGAGTATAGGTGGGTGTCCTCGATGAATCATCGATGATATATAGGGTCTAAAAAATCTATGGCACATTGCAGACAAATCTCTTATGCGCCACCGATAACAGTTTGCCCAAACTGCACAGTGCACGAAGGTGTTTGCTACTGTAATTTATCCAACGTAGAAAGGTGTTATTGGGTTGCGGGTAATTCGAGATCAAGACGAAACCATGACTTCGTTCTGTGTGCTTGGCTTTTAAGATTAGGTTCTGTTAAGAAAATTTATCAAAAATTTAGGGTGAATTCGGTAGGTACGAGTAAAACTGAAGCAAGGTGTTCACAAATTTTTCAAACCAAAGTGAAGCTACTGGGCATGTATCAGACTGCTCCTGATATAAATTGTCCGAGGAACAATGGAAAATTTTTGTCACAAAAAATGCAGTTTCTCAGAAGATGATAGCGAATACAATTTTTTATGTTCACATGAGTTATTG